ACAATCTACTATTGTATGGCTGGCAAATTTTCTTCTCTTTTCTGATCCCTGTGATTCAGAGTTGAAGGCTTCCTAGGCAAAAAGCACTCTTCCCCTATTACCTCTCCCTGATCCCTGATCCCACTTCTGCCTCAGCTCTATCCCTCAAGTATCCCTCTCCCATTCTGCTTTTCCGTCGTGCCCTCTGAAACTCCATCCTACTGTTAACAAACTGCCCTTTGAATTAAACCTCTTCCTTTCTTATGCTTCCCATTTTATAATTAAAGAAATGTGTAGAAATCGAACATAGTAGATTTGCAGTTTCGTGTGCAATAGTCTTTTTTTTCTATTCAACTATGTTATAGAATTGCTTGTTTTATTTCTTAAATTTAGAATTAAATAAATTAGATTAAAAAATAATTACACTGGACCCCTGGTCAACCTCTTCTCTACTGAATACACTTCACTTATGATCCCTGACAGACACAGTTAGCCAGGGGACTGAGTAGGAATACTTCTTGCTCCTTACTGCCACTTTCAGAGTCTCTTCCTGCCACCATCACTCTAATCTTTTTTCTAGGTTGAACTCACCCATTTCTATCACCCTAACAAAATACTGGTGGCAATTATCTAGCAGCCTCTGGGTCATCCTCCCTCCTTTTTCAGGGTCAGTACTCAGCTCACAGTCTTCTTGTCCATCTTAATTAACCCCTGCCCCTATGCTTTGACATTCACCAATAGTTTGACGCACCTGAAATGGCCGAACAACAAACAGCCCATGCTGCCAAATGCCTCTGAAGGAAATCACAAAACTGTATTGATTGGCTCCACCACACATTTGTGCTATCTGTTCTTGGCTGGGCCTTCATTACTCACATCTGTTTTTATATTCTTCCCTGACTGACTCCCTGTCTCGCTCAGTATAGCATCTGTTCTCTTTTGTCTTTATCATTCTTTCCCCTCACTCTCTAAGCAGAGATCTTCAGTCATACTTTACCCAAAAAATGGAGACTATTTCTCATGAACTCTCTCTTCTTCCCAATTCTACATTTCAGATCCCTTCAACATCATTACCTATCCTTTCAAAATCCTTCAGTGTCATGACATATCCTGCTCAAGCTTTGGAGAAAGAAATGACAATAGCTGTAATAATAACAACTAACCTTTATATTCGCACGTAGTTCCAGACATAGAGCTAACTGTGTCATAATTATTATCCCCTTTGATCCTCACAAAGACCCTGTAATGACGGTGCTATTATCATCCCCATTTTGCAGATGTGGAAAGTGAGGCAAACAAAGGTTAAGAGACTTGCCCAGGGTCACACAGCTAGTAAGTGTCTAAGGCTTGATTTGAACTCAGGTCTTCCTGACCCCAGGCCTAATACTCTACCCACTGCACCACTCAATAAATAGTCCTCATTGCCAAGGCCAAAGAGTTCACTTGTGCTCTTGATCCCACTCCTTTCTCCTCTGGGAACTTGAGCCATGAATTATCTCTCCTTTTTTTCTAATCTTGAGTCTCTTTTTATCCACTATCTCTTTATACTGCCTACAAACATGCCGAGATCTCCTCAAGCTGTCATCCTCTACCTTTCCACCCCATTCACAGGTTATCTCCTAGAAAAAAATATCAACACTCATTAATACAACTGTGTCATCCCCTCTTACTTTTCAACAACTTGTAGCCTGGCTTCTCACCCTACCATTTGACTGAAGCTGCTATCACCAAGGTCATCAGTGGTATCTTCATAGCTAAATCTAATGACCTTTTCTCAGTTCTTGACTTCCATGTCGCCTTTGACACTACTGACCAACTTTGCCTCCATACTTTCTCCTCACCTCCTTCTTCATCTCAGTCATTATCCATATCCACGTATCTGCAGCCAGGTGAAGCAGTGCATGGAGTGCCAGGCCTGGTGCCAGAAAGACTCATCTTCCTGAGTTCAAATCCGGCCACTTACTGGCTATGTGATTCTGGGCAAGTCACTTCACCCTGTTTGCCTCAGTTTCCTCATCTGTAAAATGAGCTGGAGAAGGAAATGGCAAATCACTCCAGCATCTTCACCAAGAAAACCCCAAATGGGGTCACAAAAAGTCAGACATGACTGAAGCAACAACAAAAATCCACATCCACCTTCTATCTATCTCATAGAACTATTGTGAGGATCAAATGAAATAATACGTAAAGTGCTTTACTAACCTTACTGCTATATAGATGCAAATTATTATTATTACAAATAATAATAATGATAGCCACATATAGAGAATTCATTGTATGCCAGGCATTGTGTTAAAATACTTTACAAACATTATCTCATTGGATTCCCACAACTCTGAAAAGTTGTTGCTATTATTATCCCCATTTTAAAATTGAAGAAACTTCAGCAAATAGAGGTTAAGTGACTTGTCTGAGAGCATGCATCTGGTAGGTATCTGAGGCCAAGATGTGAACTCAGGTCTTCCTGACTTCAGGTCCAGTACTCTCTCCACTGAGTCACCAGCTACCCAAAAAAGGTGAGGGAACTGAGTCCATAACTTATAATCCAGTAAACTAGGCTTTGATTCTAGGGAAAATTCATTAAAGAGATGGTTAGTGACCATGTCAAAAAGGAATCAGGGATTACAAAATCCTGGCATGACTTCATTGAGAACAGGTCATGCTTTATTAATTTTGGCTCCTTTTTTGGGACCCTTGTTTGAAAATGCTAGATCAGGGAAATACTGTAGAAATCATTTACCTAGATTTTACCAAAATATTTGATAAAATATCTTATAGTATTCTTGTGGAGAAAAAAAAATGGACAGATGTAAATTTATACAGCAATATAATTAAATGAACTTGGAAGCAGTTGAATGAAAGGATTCAAAGGCTAGTTTTTTATAGTTCAATGTCAGTTTGGAAGGAGGTCTCCAGTGGAGTGCCCCAAGGATCTGTGCTTGTTTTTAAGCTGTTTGAGTTTTCTCAAGGACCTTACATAAAGGTATGGATGGTATGTTCATCAGATCTGCAGATGACACACAGGTGAGGATAGCTAACACACAGGATGAGAGCATCCACAAAGATTTTGACCAACACCCATCTAGTCACCAATTGATTTGACCTCCCTACCATCTCTAGCATTTATTCCCTTCTCTATATTCACATTATAAAATTCTATTTCAGGCTCTCATTGAATGTCACCTGGAGTATTCTAAAATTCTTTTGACTGGCCTCTTGGATTACTTACTGTCTTTCTTCCTTCCAGTCCAGTCTTCATATAGTTGACAAAAAATTCCTCCTAAGGCACAACTGTGGCCATTCCATATCCCTACTCCAAAGTCGTCAGGCTTATTGTCTCTAGCCTATTTATAGTCTTATTGTCTCAACACCCTAATTTTATTATTTAAAGCATTCCATAATCTGACTCAATCTACCTTTCACTTATTACACATTACTCCCTTTCACGAAAATATTCTACATTCTGGCTAAATTGGATGACTCGGTGGTCCTTGAACTGAATATATTCTCTGAACTGGACATGATGCCACTCACTTCTGTTCATTTGAGCAGGCTGTCTCCTTTGTCTAGAATATACTCTTTCCTGATCCTTGTTTTCTAGAATCCTTATTTTCTGCAAGGGTCACCTCAATTGCTGTTTCAGCATGAACCTGTCCTTTATCCACCCACAGCTGAATGGGGTCTCTGTCCTCAAAATTTATTAGAGTGCTTTGTCTGGATCTCTCTTTTGCCCTTATCCTGCTCTACCTGTGTATGTATGCTATTCCCCTCTGTGTCCCCTCCCTTCCCCCCACAGCCGCCCCCAACCAAGCCCCTTAAGAGAGTTTTAGTTCTGCTGTACCACCATTTGGAGGATAGCTTAGAGACAATTTAACATCCAGTTATTTTCTGGCTTGAGAGTGGGTGTGTGTGTGTGTGTGTGTGTGTGTATGTGTGTGTCTGTGTATGTGTGTGTGTGTGTATGTGTGTGTGTGTGTGTGAGAGAGAGAGAGAGAGAGAGAGAGAGAGAGAGAGAGAGAGAGAGAGAGAGAGAGAGAGAGAGAGAGAGAGAGAGAGAGAGAGAGAGAGAGAGAGAGAGAGAGAGAGAGAGAGAGATGGTGATCATATTTGGGTCTATATCTGAGATGCTTGAGAAGTGGGAACTTGTCCAGGTCATCCAGCTAGTATGAGTTGAGTCATGACAAAGAACCAAGGCCAGCCCTATTATAATTATCTATTATAATAAGCTGCCTCTGAACTACCTAGTTAACAAATTTATACATCAAAATACCAGGTGGTATACTTTACCCCTTCGTGCCTATACCCCAGGTGAATTCCTCTCTGGCATGCTTTCCCCATTCCTCTAGATGAAAATGTCTTGAAAATTTGGTTTGAGGGTGCCTTTTGTGGTTCTTGCCCTGGGGGCCAAAATGGTTAGTCACAGCTCTATTGATTGTGGTTTATAAGCAATCTCATCACTTCATGGTACTTGGTAATCCCTGCTCCCTTTTCTGTCCCTGTGGAAGGGGAAGGAGGATGAACAGATCTGAAGCCCATTTTGTGTATTTCTCTATTTCGTGGGTTACTATGGTTAAAAAAATCATTACCTGGTGGCCTACTGGTGAAGAAAACTGTTCCTTGAAGAAAACCTGCAAGGAAATGATTGTCAGAGATACTTCTTTATTCCTCCCCCTAGCAGTAATCTCAAAGCACAAAAAAACCCCAAACAAACAAACAAACAACCAAAAAAACCCCACCTTCTCACCATTGGTTAGGGACCCCTATTCTGTAGTATTTTTCTCTTTATCTGTTCCCAACCTCTCCCTTTGCTCTTCTCTTCTTTTTTCTTCTCCTCTTCCTTCACTGTCCCTTTCTTCCTCTCACCTCTTTACCCCTTTCCTCCTCTTCTCTTCTTCTTTTCTCTTCTCTATTTTGTGTCTCTTCCCACTATGTCCTCCCCTCTCTCTTCTCCACCTCCCCTCCCCTCTCCTCATTCCTTTTTGTCTAACCTTTGGCCCATTCATTGCCTTTACCTCTTATCCCCAGTCCTTCTCTCTGTCCATGTATCTTACTCTCTCTCTTTAGGAAACTGAAACCTGCTTTGCAACCAGAAGACAGGAAGGAACTGCTCAGAGTTTGCTTTAAAAACATTATCAGCTTGCCTCCCTTAGAGATCATGCAGACAGATATGCCTCCCAAGGAGTCCCCCGCCATCAAGGTAATGGACTATTTGTTTTTCTTTCTTTCTTTTTTTTTTTTCAGTGAGGCAATTGGGGTTAAGTGACTTGCCCTGAGTCACACAGCTAGTGAGTGTTACATGTCTGAGGCTGAATTTGAACTCAGGTCCTCCTGACTCCAAGGCTGGCACTGTAATCCACTGCACCATCTAGTTGCTCATAGAATATACCCTGAGCATCAAAGTGAAGAGGATATAAATTATAGGCATAGCTAGGTGGGGTTTCTCAAAGAAGGATTCCCAGTGATTTTGAGGGATGGGAGCAATTGACTCCTTCCTGAAAATCCTTCCTCCTCCCTTCATGTCTAGAATCTATTCCAGGACACATTGCAGGCTCTACGGAAGATGCTGGAGGGCTTGGTCACAGAAATGCCAACCTGGGTTGAGAACTACTTGGAGGTCAGTGAGAAAACCCTGGTAGTGACTCCCCACTGCCTATATGAACTTATCCAGGCTCATGGTCCTCCACAAACTGATTCCAATCTATCATTTATTTATATATCCATATCTAGTTTTGTTTCTATTTCTCTTCCTATACTTTATGTCCCCAGGGAAATGGGCTGCTAGCTATGTCCTACCCTCTCCTACCTCTGGGCATCGATGCAATCTGGTCCCCATTCCTGAGATGTTTTCCCTCCTTCTGCCTGCTGAAACCCTCCTCTCCTGGTGTCCTGGACAAGTGCCACCCTTTGATGAAGCCATTCTTAGCTGAAGAAAAATCTCTCCTTCAGATTTCTGTAAAGCCTTTCCTCTCTGTCTTTCCTTAGTCCTCATCCTCATATGCTTACTTGTGTGTATGTTATATAGAGCTCCCTTACAAAGTTTTGACATATGTCTCCACTCTCAATCCCAGCTGTCATTTCCCTGTTTGCCCCCATTACACTTGTCAGACACATAAATGAATTGATCATATCCATTTTTGAGAGCAGAGTTTCATACGGTGACAAGGGGAAGAAAAAGAGGTAAAGTGAGACAGAAACAGATAGAGAGACAAAGAGAGAGAAGACAGGATGGAGAGGGTAAGTGGCATTGAAAATATTGGTGAGACATCCAGAAAGGATGCCATTTTTCTTGGAAACCAGTATCCTGAAAGACTTAGTCTTATGCCACCATGTTTATAGGCTAGAGCTAGAAGTGACTTCAGAAGTCATACAGTTAAGCCCCTCATTTTATATATGAGGAAACAGGTTCATGGAGGTGAAGAGGTTTCCCCAAGGTCACAAAGGTTGTAAATTACAGAAGTGAAATTTGAACTCATGACCTCTCATTTTAATGCCGTTCTTTCCCCTCTACATCCCCACTTCTCAGCTTCACTGTTCTCTCTTAGTAGAAGCTCTGGTCTTGCCCTCTACTTCTGGTTCCTGTTAATTCAACAAATATTTATTAAATGCATATAAATTATAAGACACTGTGCTAGGATACAAAGATTTTTTAAAAATACAGTCCCTGCCCTGAAGAAGCTTTCCATATATATAAAGGGGCAAATAGTATACTTCAATCTGCATTCAGACTCCGTAGTTCTTTTTCTGGATGTGTGGGACAGCTATCCTTATTTCCCAAATTAAACTCAGAGGCTTCTCAAGGTAGAAAAGAGAAAGGAATTTATTACTTTCTCACGAGAAAGGGTACCACCCCTAGTCGCCATTGCTGGCCAGGAGAGTACAAGTTGGGAGCCGTACCCTTGGCTTTTTATCCCCTAACTCGATGCCCCCTCCCACTCTCTCTTACCACTTTCTCCTGTGACTGGGTACTCAGGGCATACATTCTAAACGAGGCAGCTAATACCCAATAGAAGTAAACATGCCCATGTTTGGACTAGATGCATACGTGTACTAGGAAGTAGGAACGACCAGGCAACCGAACTCCCCCACCCATGCTGATGTGGTGCTGGAGAAATAGAAACTTATCAGGGAAAATGGAAACTTAATTCAAGGCTTTCTGGAGGAACGAAATTTAGGCCTGTGGGAACTGCACAGCAGGCCATCTCTCACACTCAGGCAGAGTGTAGGAGGGAGATAGGAGCATAGCAGGGAGGTAAGAGTGTAGCAGGGATATACTAATGAGGGAACTTCACTGTGAGCCATCCCTCACATCGATGTCCCACCATTATTTTCAGTGCCACTTCCCCCTCCATCCTCTCTTCTCTCTCTTTGTCCGTTTCTCTTTGTCTCTGTATCTGTTTCTGTCTCTCTACCTCTTTTTATTTCTCTCTTCCCCTTGTCACCATATTAAACTCCGCTCTCAAAAATGGATATGATCAATTCATTTATGTGTCTGACAAGTGTAATGGGGGTAAACAGGGGAACGAAAGCTGGGAGAGAGAGTGGAGAGATACGTCAAAACTTTGTTAAAGAAAACTGGCCACTGGGCCAGGAAAAGTTACCCACTCAAGGATGCATTACCCCTCCTAAGGGCACTTGAGTCTCTTATTGTGGAATTTTAGAAACTTACCCTTCAAGTTATGCTACCTGTTTTTGTGTAAAGTCAGTTCTACACCATAGAGTGATGTCTCTCCATTTGTCAGAGGCCAAGGGGGGAGTTGAGGTACCCTTTTTCCTTCCTGGGGATACTGCTGAGTGGGGTCTTCCTTCCCCTTGTCTTTCCTCTCCTCAGTTTCTTGAAACCTGGATCATTTCCCCAAGGGAGTATAAGAGAGAACGAGCCTTGTGGTGTGGTGTCTGCATCCTCAGTTTCACTGCCAGGAAGCACAATTTTCATGTAAGTGTGGCCATTGTGAGAGACAGTCCAGGGTGGGCAGGCCACCAAGGGACGAGGGATCCAGTTCATCTCTTCTTCCCTACACATACTTATCTGGCTCAGCCTCACAGCAACACACACTAAGAACATTTCTATGAGGTTTGAAGGCTTGCAAAATACTTACCCTGCCACGACTTGTAAGGAAAGGAGTACAAACATAACTATTTAAGGAAGAAGAAAATGAATCTCAGAGAAGTTGTAAGTGATTTTCCCCAAAGCCATACCCATACCAGTCAGAGCTGGTATCCTAACCCAGGCTCCTGACTTCCAAAACCAAAACACTTTCCTGTACATTAGGATGCTTCTCTAAAGTCTTTTCCACCTCGGCTTTGGTTTTATCTGCCCCTCGTTCCTCCTGTCCCTGATTCTTCTGCTCTCTGTTTTCTCCCAGTTATGTCCTCTGCCCATAACAAAGAACCGTTCTTCTTGCCAACCACTTTTCCATACATGTGCCCAGCTGACATCAGTACTTTCCCTTTGTCCTATCAGTCAGTCTCTGCTTCCATTAACTTCACCAAACACCATAATCCCTCTCCTCATTCTTACTTTCTCCAGGGTGATCCACACCCTTGAGTTGTCCTAGCTTCTTCCACATTCACGTAGGAGGTAACATGGTATAAGGGAATAGAGAGTGTAACCTTTGCCCTCTTCTTCCCTTTCTCCCCTGAGGTTGACATTGAGTTCTCCCGGCTGGGGAGGCTGGTGAAGTTTTTGGCCATCCTTTGCCAGGACCATGTGGACAACATTAGCTTTCTGGCCTCGCAGGCTGTTTACAGTCTCTACTGTATCATGCTGCTCAAGAAAAGTATGGAAAGCTAAAAGTTCTGTCCCTTTTTCTACTCCCTTCCTTTAAGCTCAGCTATTCTCCTTGTTCCTCACCCAAGAGTAGGGTTCCTTCCCAAGTGTGATCCAGGCATATTCCCATGACCTCTAGGTACCTGCAGTCATCTTTGTGGACATCAGATCCCTTCTTTGGACATGCATGGCCTAGGGCCTTGCCTTAAGTGCATTCCATAGCCATACTCTTATTTTCTAGCCCCACCATTTTATGCCCCTGAACTCTGTCCTCAAGATACCTAACTCTGATGCCTCTCCTGAGAGTTCTTATGATCTCAACCCCTATTGCTGCTTATCAAAATCTCTGCCCCCATGGTCCCAGCATGATTTATCAAAGATAGCTCAGCAGAACTAGTATGTTTAAGGGGTTGGGATTGAGATACTTTTGGAAAATTCCTATAGTATTTGGTGGGAAAGGAAAGGGTCCTTTAGGAGTTGGAGGAGTGGGAAGGTAGAACCTGAGTTCTAGAGTTGGATCAGGAAAAGGAAGAGATATGGGAAGAACTTCCCAAGAAAGAAGGTGTCTACAGTGCCTATGTGTTTCATAATGACACTGCTGAGATTGCCAAGGTAAGCCAGCAGGGCCAGGTAATCCCTTCCCCTTCCCCCATACAGACTCTGCCCTTGAGTGGGGTGGTGGGAAGAAACCTAATACATAATGCAAGGACCCGACTGTGTCCCTAATTTCATATAATCCCATAGACCTCTCTGAATGCACTCTGCCCTCTTTCAGCACCTCTGGGTCTCCATTTGTGGATGTGAAATGGGGAGAGAGGGCATTGAAATAGCTGGAGCATGACCTGAGTTAGGGTTCTGGGCAAGTTGCTTCATTTTTCTGAACTTCTTTTCTCATTTTGAAAATGAAGGGATTAGATAATTTCTAATGTCCCTTGTGGCTCTCAATCCAATGATGCTCCAAAGAATGCCAGGCTTCTAAATTCAGTTCTAACCTTTAGGAATGCTGTAACTAAATGACTGAGGTCATAGACCCAGGGGTCTCTCCAGTGCCACCTCACTCTAATTTAAGTTTTTTAGATTGGACTTGTGATTTTGATATGGGGAGCTCCTGAGATGGGAACTTTCTCTAAATACTCTATAATTTATATTCTAAGAGAGTTATCTCAGACACTAAGATGTTAATGACTTGCCCATGGTCTTGTGTAGCTAGTAAGTGCTACATAAAACAAAATAAAATAGTAAGAACATAAAATCCAATGATGAAAGCAGATTAAACTGGTCTAAGCTTTGCAATTGGCCAATATTCTCCATTTGTTGGCACTCTGAAGATAGTACAAGACAAGGGAATTCCCCAAGAAGAAGTTTCCCAAGAGAATACTTCCCCAAAATTATCTCTTGGACCCACAAGATTTGGATCAGTCTGTGTACCAGATCCAGAAAGAGCTCAAAATCTCCTGACTCTTGATCCCTTTTTTAGATTTTGGGACTGAACTTTTTTTCCAGCTGTTTGCTCTGCAGCCAAAGGTTTGTTTCACAGACTTCTCTTCCTGGTTCTGTACAAATGAATGGATTACCCATATTCAGCCACCCTCTTCCTTTCCTTCTCTTCCCTATCTCCCCCACACCCCAGAGTTAAGAAGTAACCCAAAAGACATGGTTCTGGCCACCAGAAGATACTGTGGCTATTCTATCACTTATTTTAGAGCTTCTAGTTGCCTGTAAAATTTTTGTAAATAAAACTTATTTCCTTATTTTAAGACAGGGTAGCATTAATCCCATGTTTTTTATTGGGGGTGGGAGGTTGGGGAGAAGAATTGCATGTAACTTCCAAAATAGGGACAGTTCAAAGTTTTACATCTCAAGTATAGACAGACTTTGACCCCTCAATTGTCTTCTTTCACTTTTCTTCAAATGTGGACACTTTTATCTCTTACCTTCCTTTCACGGCTATCCTTGTCCAATGAATAGCTAGACTCATGACCTTCTTTCTCTTAGTTACCATCATCTCCTTAATTTTGCAAGAGTTCTGCAACTCTTCATTGCCAAATTCCCAGAAACCTTCAATGAGTAAGCAAAGAAACAGAGATGAATGAGTGAATGAATGAATGACTGGTTGCCTAGATGAAAACATTAAAAAACAGAAAACAAACTCCAAACTTCTTATTCTGAAGATCAAACTAACATTTCCTGCCTCATCTTTTATATTTTTTCTATATAAACTAAGAGATAATATCTGAGGCTGCTTTGAAGCTCATGCACCTGCTAAGCAGAGAAAGTGATTGTGGGATCAGAACTGTATGTATATATGATTGTGGAGTTAGGGGTACGTGTGTGTGTGTGTGTGTGTGTGTGTAATAGAATACTATTGTGTTATAAGAAATGATGAGGTGGATTTCAGAAAAACCTGGAAAGACTGATGCAAAGTGAAGCGAGCATAATCAGGAGAACATTGTACAGAGTAACAGTGACATTGTGTGATGATAGAGTATTGTGAGCAATAAATGAGTTAAATTTCCACATAAGTAGATAAGAAATCAGCACAGACAGGCTAACTTCTGCGGGGGGGATAGAGAGTGACAACTCAATTCTGGGCACATAATGTAGGTTAAGGGTGGGGCTTATAAGGAGGATTGTAACCCAGAAGGATTAGGACCAGTGATCCAGAAGGGAGGTGTTAGGCATTTGCTAACTATAAAGCTTGCTCTTGCTTCTGTACTTGGGGCACTCTCCCCTTCTAAGGAGGTGTGCCCGCTTCTCGGGAGAATCAAAAGGATGCACTTCAACCTCTTTACTAAAAAGTCTCTGAGACACCAGTCATCAGAACTGAGTCTGAGGCCTTCTTTATAACAATACCATTAGCTGTTTTCAGCAATACAATCATGAAGACAATTATTAAAGGACTCACGAGGAATAATGGTCTTCACATCTAAAGAAACTGAGTCTGAATGCAAATCGAAGCCTAGTATTTTCACTTTATCTTTTTCCTTTTGGTCTGTTTCTTTTTTCACAACATGATTAATATGGAAATATGTTTTACATAATTGTACGTACATAACCTATACCTAATAGCTTACCTTCTTAGGGAGGGGAGAGGTGAGGTGGGGGGGAGAAAATTTGGAACTCAAAACTTTTACGGAACGTTAAAATTTGTCTTTACACGTAAGTGGAACAAATAAAATAGTATTAAAAAAAAAGTATGTGTATCCTTGGGGGATCAAAAGCCTGTGTGGATGACTGCGGGATCAGAAGCGTGTACGTATCCAGCCTTCCCTTGTCTGCAAGGTCTTCTCGGTCCCAATCAGCAGGAGCACAACGCGCAGGCGCAAATGCCTAGGAACCCACAAGGGTGGGGGCGCTGTACCTGCTCTTTAGTGGGATCTCCTTCCGCCGCGGAGGCCTTCCTGCGTTTGTGCGTGCGTGATTACGTCCTTCCTGAGACCCTGGCTATCTGCGGGAAGCGGCGGTTTCAAAACTGGGTAAGCTTTGCTGATGCCAGGCAGCAGCCTCAGCGGAAAGGGAGAAGGCCAGGCGAGCGCCGGAAAAAGGAGCGGGACGGGTTCGGAAAAGGGCGTAGTGTAGAGCAGGACCAAGTAGAAAGTGGAGCCCCTCACCAGCGACCGGGCGGAGGACCCGGATGAGGGGGCGGAGGTTCGCGGCTAAGGAGAGGGCTGTGGTTCCTGAGTTTAGGAATATCGCGGCCGCTAGGAGTAACAGTTGTTACACACGTGGAAAAGTTGAGCCAGAGGACTCGGGTATTGACTTGCCTAAGGTCATGGGTGCTGGACCTAGAGCCTGTAGAGACCCCAGTCACTTTATCAGACTTGTGACCTTGGACGAGTCACTTCCTTCTCTGAAGAAGGGTAAAATAATCCCGATATTGGGAGGAGCCCTTAAAAACACTAAATAAGTGCCAGATTTTGGTGGCCCCTCCCTTTTTTTGAGGTAAGCATGGAGTCAGGGAAATAAGCGTTCTAATTTAGCCTCATATATTCAATAGTAGTGTGACGAAACCAACTTATCTCAGCTTCAGCTTCCATTTGTTAGTTTAAAAACGGAGATGCCTTCCCTGGCATGGGTTTTTCCGAGTCTGAAGTGAGTAGCTTTTTGCAAACTTCAGAACAGCATATTAATGCCAGTTATTAGTCCTGCCTTCCTTGTCTCCCTTGGCCAATCCACACGCGGCCGAATTGATATTCATCAAGAATAGGTATTCACGGAGCCCTACACCTTGCTCGACCAACTTCAGTGATTCCTTGTGGACTCTAGGTTAAAATGCAAATTCTTTTCTTTGGCATTTAAAGCCCTTCACAGTCTGGCTCTTTTTAAGCCGAACGTACATTACAGACGTCACACTGTCTGTAAGGTCTAATTGACTCATTTGCTGCTTTTTATTGACTCATGCTCTCTTCTACCTTTGAAACCCCTAGTTTCTTTCAAGGCTGAAACTTCGGGAAGCCTTTCATAATTCCTCCAGTTTTTAGGCTTTGTCCGCGATACTGTGTTTTATTTGGTACACATTTTAAAATTGCTTTATTTATGGACATGTTGCAAACTCCTGGTAGGGTGTAAGCTCCTTGAGAACAAGGATTTTGTCTTTGCAGCAGGCGTGCCACATAGTAAGTACTTATCAATGCTTATTGTATTGGATTATTATCTGTTTGATAGGAACTATCTCCTATTCATGCCTCCACACCTTTTGTTTTTGAGGTGATTTTTAAAATTCAAGGGTAGAACTTTACACTTATCCTTATTAAATTTCATTTTACTAGATTTGCCACAAAACTCTAGGCTTCTGCCAGAACACAAGAAGACCTTGTCACTGCCCTTCACCTTGTTTGGCAATACCTATCTTTGTGTCATCTTGAGAATTGACAAATATAACATTTATGGCTCCATCTAAGTCATTGATTAAAAATATTAAACAGCACAGGGCCAAGAACAAGCCCCTCCAATTCCACCTAAATGTACTCCTGTTTAGCCCATATATCTCCATCCTAACTAACCACACAGCTTGACACGAGAGAGTCAAATGCTTTGCTAAATTCTAAGCATTCTAGCTCTACAACATTCCCCTGATCTGTCATTCTGTTTACCCTGTCAAAAAAGTAAATGAGGTGATTCTGGAATTTTTCTCTCCCCTCCTTTTTTTTTTTCTTCCACTCTTCTCTGTTATCCTTTATTTGGCTCAAATCCTCTATTAAACCATTCTGTTTCTTTTTTTTAAAAAAAGTTTTATTGGTGTTTTGATTTTACATTACAAACATTTACAGTTGTTTTCCTTTACATTATTGTGGTCATCTTATAAATTCATCTTCTGGTTCTGAGCATTTCATTCTGCATCAATACATAGAAGTCTACCTGGATTTCTTTGAATTTGTCATGTGTTATGGCAAAATAATATTCTACCATGTTTATGTAGCACAGCCTTTCCTCCGTTAATGGGCACTTAATTTATTTCCAGTTTTATATCATAACAAGAAAATATTGCAATAAATATTTTTATGCATATGGTCCTTTTATCTCTTGGAATATGTGCGTAGTAAAAATATTGCTTCACCATAGGAAAATTAATGAAAACTTATTTATTAAGTGTTTATAGTTTGTTCCACATTGTGCTAAATGCTGGGGATACAGATAGAAAGTCAAGTCAGTGCCTGCTATCAAGGAGCTCGCTTTCTAATGGGAGAAACAGCACATAAAGAAGAGTTCATCTGCCAGGCAGTGGGTCAGAAAGTGTGGGTTAAGTGCTTAGTGTGTGCCAGGCACTGTAAAGATGGAAAGGCTCAGTGGACCTTAGGTGGGCCGGCAAGGTGGATAGTGATGCATTTCCTTCCATGTTGTGTCCCACTGATAAAACCATGTATGTTTCTGAAGTTGAAAACTTTATTTTTTGGATCTTATTTAGTTGTGATTACTGAGGTGGCTGCTGTAGCACCTGCAAAGGTAGTTGCTGAAGAGGATATATAGAGGTTGTTCCCCTGGACTTCAGGTGTAGGTAGGTGGACTTAGCTGGAAGCAGAGTTGATGGTCTGGGGGAGAACCTGCTATTTCTGAGGTCCTAAGGCCAGAGACTGCCTAGTACATACTGCCTTCCTGTCTCCCCTTTAGCATACATTTCTGCTTTGGCTAGGTAATGATTTCTTCAGTCAACAAACATTTTAAAAGCACATCTTATATGTGAGAGGCACTGCTAAACACAGGATTTAAAGAAAAGTTGAAAATGGTTTTTGCCATCCAAGAACTTACAGTGTAATGGGGGAAATTACATGTGTATCAATAGGTTTATACAAGATACATGCAGAGGAGATATGTACAAGGGTATCATAGAGAGGGAAGCAAAGGGGACCAGGAAAGGCTGCCTGTAGAAGGTGGAGTTTAAGCTGCTGGGTTTTTTTCTGGTAGGCAGTTGGGCTTAAATGACTTGCACGGGTTCATCCAGGTAGTGTCTGAGGCCAGAGTTGAACTCAGGGCCTCCTGACTCCAGGGCTGGTGCTCTATCCACTGAGCCACCTGGCTGCCCCTAAGCTGGCTTTTAAAATTTTTTTCTTAAAAATATTTTTATTCAGAACTCAATAAACATCAACAAACATGAATATTTCCTCATACAAAGAAGAATGAAAGGTTGTATATTACTTGGTAAATTTCTATTATGTGCAACTTTTAATAAAAGTATATGTTACATTTCATAGGGTAGTTCCAACACTACTACTCTCTATAGGGGCTGTTCCTCTTCCTTCTCTTCCTGTTCATTTAGCTTTTTTTCAACATTAGCTTTTTATTAAAGCTAATTGCTTTAGGATTATATGACTGTAAAGACCTGTTGTTTTTTTAATGAACCTGTATCCAGCTATTTTGTATGAAGTATAGCCACATGTACTAAGGGAAGGAAAGCAAGTGATTGTTGGCCACTTGCTTAGGGCAAGCAACAGTTTCTACTGAATTCTGTATTTACAATGCATGTATCTTTTTAGAGAGGTAGGTTAACTGGATTTTTAGTTTTTGTTTGTAAAACCATAAAGATATATGGTTTATAGAGAATGATAGTATTTCACTGAGCCATCCTTTGTTTTTCTAGAGTGTCAAGTTAATGCTTTAAAATTTTTATTGACCAATATTATGTGGTTTGATGAGGAGCTCTATTTCTGGTCATCCTGGACCAGAAGTATTTCTGTCTACAAGTATTTCTCTTCTCTTTTCCCAGTGTATGTACATATATTGTATGTACCTCCAGGTACAGTAGTTTAAGTTGTTTTGTGAAGGAAATGGGTAGCATTTATTTCCTCTTTGTCTTTTAATTTTCCAAAAAAAAAATCATGATTTATAAGTTTGTTGACAACTAATTAAAACAATTCTATATGTGAAAGCTTCAATCTAACTTAAGACTTTATAAACAGTTATTTAAATACACCCAGAGATAGTTACTAAAACATATCCTAAGTCTATGCATTTAGGCATTTGGGAATATTTAAATACACCTGAAAGAAATTCTGGTCTCCTACTTAGTAGTTTCCTCTTACCTCCAGGACAAAATTGAAAATATGTAATTTGGAACTATCATCTTTACTTTGCCTTTTGTCACTGTTCTTAGTGAAAAAAACAAACAACCAACATTTGGAAGCCCAGTTGCATATATTCTGGTTCTCAAGGGGAAACAGAGTAATCTTGTTGCTTCCTCAAAGTGAAGTTTACTACTTTGTTAAAAAAAATTAAAACTTTTACATCTTTATCACATCACATCTTTTATCATATTTCTTCTCCCTACTCCCTCTGAGCATATATGTTATCCTCAGATCATTCAGAAAGAATGAGATGCTTTAAGGACTTAATCTTTTACATGAATATATATAACTAATAGCAGGAGGATGGCAAGCCTAAGAACTGATTCTCTTAGTTGCTTAGGTTAGGAAGTTGAAACAAATAGGGGCCACAAATTCAGACTAAAAATAAAAACAGTAATGTCCTTTATACTTGCATCCCATTATAGTAACTCAGAGATATCTGAGTATTGTAATAAGATTCGTTAAAGAAAAACTCTTTACAGTTCACCTGCAATGGATGTCAAGATTTTCTATGAAAGGAAGGAGAGACATAGTTGTAACAATGTTAAGACTATTTTTTCAGGCCTAAGCCTAAAAGCACAGCCTGATCTATCATAGGTAGAACAGGGGGAAACTCCCTTAGCTCTAATTTCAGGTAAAAGTCATAAAAACCTTTTAGAACAAGCAGTCGTACCACAGAGTGCCACATTATTCACATAGGCAGGCTGAGGATTAACCAGATGGAAAACCTTCATGTTCAGAAAAGAAATAGCATAGTAGGGCAACTGAGTCAAGGGAACCTTGCCATTACTTTTATAAGGCCTTCTTCTTAACCTTCGCAGTCATTTACATCCACCAGTAATGTTTCTCAGATAGCACTCCTTTTGTGTGATTCATGGCATTTCCCTTGAATGGTAGAATACTGGATTAACAATAATCAAATAAGTTATACCTTACTTCAGAGTAGATCAAATTACAGTCTCAAGAGAGCTCACCTCACGAAGCATATTTCACTAATCAAGTTTAGGGCAGGATACAGTTCTTTTTCTTGTTTCAATATTAATTAGTTAACAATAAATGAAAACATTTATTCTCAATACCTGTTAAGTACCTACAAGGATTTTCCAAAAGTCTTCATTCAGCATCTTTCTTTTCTAATTTAAACACATCCTAGTGTAAAAAAAAATCTAACATGAGAAGTTAAGAATGATCATATTCTGGAGCTTCAGACAGTCAGTGTGATCAAAACCTAGAATGGCCACTGTAAGCCTCCAGATTCCCATATCCATATCTTAAATTATTACATATTAACTCCTAAGACAAAAATAAAATCTTTAAAACTGGAGCCTATCAATACTAAGTTGGCTCAAAGATGTAACAAAGATCAGAAAAAATGTGTAGTTCACCATCTTGTTACACATGTGACCCAGAAGCCCTTTATGTTACCTAAAATGCTTCTTCTAATAACCCTTCAAGGTAGGTGTTACTCAGCATTGAAGTCATCAAGAAACCTTCTCTTTAGGGTCTGCCCTTGGATGCATGTCATCACAGTGGTTATCAGCAGATGTGTGTAGAATGCCAGCAGCTTCTTCCACAAGACTTCTTCCATCTGCCTGTTTGTCTCCGCTTAGTCATCACTCTAGTTCAGAGTTTGCCATCATGAGAGTTTTACCAAGTATGGCCTGAGACTTCAAAAATTTTACACTGTAAGTAGAGTTAGGTAGTCTGTAAGGAAGCTATTCTTAGGGGCTGCTCTATAGATCATTGCCTTTTTCTTGTTTCTCGGAAGTTAACTCCAAGTAATGACTTAACTTTTTAAGGAATATGGCAGATCAAATCCAGGAAGGAAGCATACATTTCCCTTTTCCCTACACTCCTTACTCTATCCAGAAGGACTTTATGGCAGAGCTGTATCGTGTTTTGGAGGCTGGAAAGATTGGAATATTTGAGAGTCCAACTGGCACTGTAAGTATGAACTTGAAAAGACTAAGAAGGAACCTAGGAGGGAATGTGGCTAATGAAGCTTGGAGACAGAATTGCTTGATTCTTCTATTGCTCTCTCATTTTGATTACCAAAATAAAAATAAAAAAATCAAAGGGCTGTAACATGAAATATCTATTAGTGTGTCTGTCTTCTGTGACAGAATACCGTCCTGTTTTGGTAACTGTCCTTTCCAGTGGTTTTCATAATCTGAGTTTAGGCAAAAAAATGTTGCCTCTGTTTCGTTTTTCACTCTTGCAGCTGTGAACATGGGCACAGGCACATCAGGTAAAAAAATTTAGTCTTTGGGCAAACATGAACTTAGATGAAATTGAAATCATTGTGTAGCCTTCTCATGCTTTTGTCAGCATTGTTATGATGCTGGGATGCATATAAGAAAGATTGGGCTTCTTTATGGGCTATTGAAAATGTTTTGTAGCCAGGTAGATTTAAAAACAAAACTTTCAGCTAGAACTTTCAAGGCTTTGTTAAAGGGGTGAAAAGCTGGAAGAGGGTTTTGCAGTCTCTTCCTAAAATTTAATTTTTCCTTTTTAGGGTAAATCCTTAAGTCTTATTTGTGGCGCCCTTTCTTGGCTCCGTGATTTTGAAAAAAAGAAGCGTCAAGAAGAAGCCCGTTTTCTTGATAGAGGAATTGCCCCACCAAATCACTTGGAAGAACCTCCACCTCACATGTCTACTAGCCAGGGGGCTCCAGATACCTCAAAGCCTACTGGGGAGCCTGATTGGATTGCCCAGTTTGTACAGAAGAAAGAAGAAAAGGATATGATAGACAAACTAAGGGTAAAAAAATTTGGGGATAGTAAGAAAGGCGAACATTAAGCATGGAACCACTCTAGGCTGAAAAGGACTTCATCTTAGTCTTTATCTTTTGATTCCAAGTCTGTTTTGTCTGTTGGCTCCAAGACCTAGGTTTCAGTTGATCCTGTGAATTTATTATACTTCTTAGCTCTCCTATCCTCTGCCGTTAATTAACTGTAATTCTCCATTGCTGTGATTTGTAGGTGGTTGTCATTAAGTTGTAGCACGTGGTCTTTCTCCAGGCAAGATTTTAACAGTACTCTATCAGGGAAATGACCTATCCATTCTCCTTAGCAGTGTGACTCATCAGCCATAACTTTAATTAAGGAGTAAATCCATTAAGAGAACATGGCTGGGGAGAGAAAATGCTAGTGCTTCTTGTCATGGGTAGCAGAGCTCAAGCTTTGAGAGGTTCAGGAAAGAGCTACAGCAACCTAGCAATTCCAGGTGTATATCAGAAGAGATATAGGAGTAGAGAATGCCTCTTGTGAAGATGACAATAAGGGTTCGCAGAGAAAGGCCGAATGTAAGACTCTGCAGGAGCTTCTATTAGACTTTTCTTATCCTTTAGGATGAACAAATCAGGAAGAAGAAGCGAGAGGAACGTCTCCAACAGATACGCCACAATGCACATTTAAAATATGCAGCCAAAAGAATGGTGAGTTTAGTACCTTGAAGTGGCTTAAATCTAGGTTTTTGACCTTGTGGCTTGTGGGAACCATATATTTTGTTAAGTAGGAGTGGCCAAGACTTCAGCTGCTTCCCTACTCTCTGAATTGCTACACAGTTTAGAATGAAGTATTGATCAAGGAGACCGCCTTCTCCAGATGAGTCTTAGATGTTAACTTCGTGTAGTCCTTCAATAGAAATCTATCAGTATTTGACAACCAGTGGCTAAAACTTGCCCTCAGAACAATAGGATCCCTTTGTCCCTGCTGGAAGGTTGTTCTTCACTCTGTATGTGACACAGGTGGGTTGATATATTCCCAGTAGAGACCATATAGAGTCATCACAGCGGGGCACATAGAATGTGTTGACTTTGGTACCCAGCCATACCAAAGGCAGAATAGAATTTAAAGAGCTAAAAAAAACAAAATCACAGCTCAAAAATGAAACAAACCCCAAATATGAGGATTGATCAAGTTAATGGGAGAATGACCTTCTGTCTTATTGCTGAAGGTTCCTTCCTCTAATACTTGTGATACAGAGACAAGAAGAAGAAGAGATGGAGCACCTATTACACCTCAGCAAGGAGATGCTAGCAGCAGCAGGGAGTGGACAGCCAGAGGAAGAACTTGGCAGGGAAGAAGAGCTGGTTCTTGCTGAATATGAGAGTGATGAGGAGAAAAAAACAGTTAGTGGGTAAGATATTGTTCCCTCACCTTAAGTTTACCTGCTACTCATAGGGAACTAGGTACTCACAGGGCCCCAGCTTTTTTAATTCTCATTTTACCTTTGTCTTTTGTCTCCTTCTTTAGCTCTTATGGATATTGGGGCAAGTGGCTACCAATGCTGTTTCAAAGAAACAAATAAATTATATTTCCTTCCAGTTTATACTCTTGTACATCTTTCTTTGCTTCTTGCACCATACTTTATAAAGAAGAAGGAAAGTGGTGAAGGAGAAGGAATGTGATTAAAACTAGTAATCTGTAATTGAAGCTGTCTGTTCCTATGCCATTGTCCCTTCTCTCTTCACTCAGACTCTAGTCATTGATCTTATGCTGTTATTTTTTAAATTTTATGATAGTAGATCTTCTGAGGTTGATATTTGCATTGTGTCTAGCTCCAGCTCAGCCATCCTTTTTATAAACCCTTCCACCCTTCATTGTCCCTTCATGTTTCCCTGTTGAGTTTTCTGTATTTCTACAACAAACTATGTTATGTTCAACCCTCCTTTGTCCAGTTCAGATTAAAGTGAGTTTTGTCCTGCCTCTCCTCTTTCCTCCTTTATAGTCTAGTCTTTTTTTTGTTTACTCCTATTTTATGAGATAGTAGGTTCTATCCTGCCTTCCTCTTTTCTCCCTTAGTATATTCTTTCCCCCCCCTCCCATTTCTTTCTTCTCTTAAAACCAACAAAACCAAGAAAAAAAAACCCTTTAGACCCTGTGGTAGTCTTTACACTCCCTCTCTGGCCCTTGAAAACAATGGAGTTATAAAAGAGACATTTATCTCTTCTCACTCAATTATAAATGGAAAAAGCACTATTAATTGCTTACCATATACAGAGCATTGCATTGAGTACTGGGAATATGCATAAAAAAGCAAGACAGTCCCTTATTTCAAATGACTCACTGTTAGGGTACTGGCAGTTTATCAACATTCAGTCTTTTCCAGTTAGTCATGTATTTACTTTTCTTTGTTTCTCTTGGCTTCTGTGTGTGTACTTTGTTGTTTGCTTAGTTCTGGTCTTATCAGGAATGCTTGAAATACCTCTAATCTCTTAAAGGTCTGTATTTTTTCTGTAGGATTATATTAAGTTGCTTAGGTCAAGTTTGTCCTTTACCTTTTGTAATATGATATGCCTCTTCTTTATGCTCTCTGTACTTTTCTCAGTTGGTGATCTCATCAGCTTCCACTGGTTCAGTTACCATCTCTCCATAGGTGATTCCCAGATCTGTCTGTCCAACTGTAGTCTCTTTACTGAGCTCTTGTCCTGTATCACTAACTACCTATTAAACATATTGAACTTGATGTACTGTAGACATCTGAAACTTAACATGTCGAAAAGAGGATTCACTATCACTGTTAGAGGGACTCCCATCATCTCTCCTCCTTCCATATCCAATCAGTTGCCACATGTTGTAGTTTCTCTAAAACATCTCTCCTGTGCATCCTCTCCTTTTTTCTTCACAGAGTCACCTACCATGTTCAGGCCTTTATCACCACCAGCTTATACTACTGCAGTAGCCTTACGGTGGACTCCCTGCCTCCAGTCTCCTCACTGCATTTTGTCCTTCATGTGCCTTCCATGTGAGGTCTTGGAGAGCAGAGACTAGTTTTGCACAGTGGTTGGTGCTTAATAAATGCTCATAGAGTGTGCTGTGTGGTTTGAATCCCAGGCTGTTGGGTAAAGCCAGAATTGTCTGTGACATCAATTTTTCAAATGCCTGCTTTTTTAAAAAATTAATGTATTTTGATTAATCAACAATCACTTCCATAAGCTTTTGAGTTTAAAATTTTTCTCCCCCTCCCTCCTTCCCTCCACAAGATGGTACGCAATTTCATATAGGCTATACATATACATTCCTATTTAACATATTTTCACATTAGTGATGTTGTAAGTAAGAATTAGAACCAATAGGAGGAACCACCAGAAAGAGGAAACGAAACACAACAGAAGGAAAAAAATAGCAAATAGTGTGCTTTAATCTGCATTCAAATTCCATAGTTCTTTCTTTGGATGTGGATAGCATTTTCCATCATGAGACCTTTGGAGGTGTCTTAGATCCTTGTATTTCTGAGAAGGGTTAAATCTATCAATATTAGTCATCACAGCATGGCTGTTACTGTGTACAATGTTTTCCTGGTTCTGCTCACTTCACTCAGCATCAGACCATATAAGTCTTTCCTGGTTTTTCTGAAGTCAGCCTGTTCATCATTTCTTATAGCACAATAGTATTCCGTTACATTCATATACCACAACTTGTTCAGCCATTCCCCAATTGATGGGCATCCTCTCCATTTCCAATTCTTGGCCACCACAAAAAGAGCTGCTATGAATATTTTTGTACATGTGGGTCCTTTTCCAATTTGTATGATCTCTTTGGGATACAGCCCTAGAAGTGCTATCGCTGGATCAAGGGGTATACACATTTTTTATAGCCTTTTGGGCATAGTTCCAAATTGCTCTCCAGAATGGTTGGATCATTTCACAACTCCACCAACAATGCACTAGTGTTCTAATTTTCCCACATCTTCTCCAACATTTATCATTTTTCTCTTTTGTCACGTTGACAAATGGCTACTTTTTCCACTAGGCCTGAACAGTTTATCATTGCCCTGAGGTTAATAAAGCTGATTTCTTGAATTCTGTTCTTTGTTTAACTCCTATCTAAAGTGATTATAAAAGGAATTGTTACTGAATAGCTCATTCTTATACGGTGTTTTATAATTTATAAAGAGTACTTTCCTTACAACAGCTCTGTGACATTAGTAGTGGCAGTATTATTTCCATTTTAGAGATGAGGAAACTGAGGCTAAGCTAAGTGACTTGCCCATAGTCACATGACTAGTAATTGTCAGAGCCAGGGTTTATGACGCCAAAGTCCAGTGTTGATGCTATACAGTGTAGCCACTACTTGTGGCAGAGAATTTTCTTTAATGACCAAGAATACGGTATTTGAGTAAAACACTGAGAGAATTTTTACTTCCTCCCTGATTAGGAAAACTAAAGAAATGAGTAGGAATGTTGTTTCTTCTCAAGGTCCAAAGAATTGAATCCAAGTATATTCTAACTTCCAGTTTGTTCAAAGTGTCACAATATCTTCTCATTTTCATTTTTTTCCAGTGCTCAGGTTTGGAGGTCAAGCTAAGTAATGAACAAAATTGAGGTTTGTATACCTCATTGTGCTTCTTAATCAGAACAGAGTTGTTCCCTGATGGGTCCTCTGTATTATAAAATGCATTTTTCCCTCCTTTCACCCAATACTTAGCCACCTGACTTTGATGGTCTTCTGAAGCAAAGTTGCATCTACATTTTCCCACCTTAGGCCCTTCTAATGTCCATCCAAAACCTGGTTTTAATGAGGAAAAATATTTCATTCTTTTTGTATGTATTTCTTCCCTCTGTTGTTCAGAGCTCTTGAAGAGGATGATGAAGATTTGGAAGAGGAGCATGTAACCAAGGTAAGACCCAGTTACATCTTGGGGATTTTTTTTGGTAAGTAGTATAGATTCCCAGCACCCAACTGGGAAAATTGTATTGCTCTCTTTTCTTTTTACATAACTTTCATTTCCCATTATATTCATCCCCTACTCAGAGAGCCAACCCTTATAACAAAAAATAGGAGAGGAAAAACAATCTGTTAAGCAGAATGGACCAACATATCAACTGAGACAGTCTATGCAAGGTTCTGTACTTAGTCTTCCCCATTTCTACAAAAAAGGGAGGAAGTTATATTTTTATTTCTATTAGCAAGCATTTTTTTCTCTTCTTGCCCTTCCCCCCCAACCCATTGTAAAAAAGAAAAATAAAACCCTTACAACAAATATGCATAGTCAAGCTTTGGCTCTGTCCAAAAATGTATGTATCATTCTGAATTTTGAGTCCCTCACACATCTCTGTCAGGAATTCAGTAGCATTATACATTGGTCCTCTGGAACAATGTTTAGTCATTTCTTACTCACTTGTATATCCCATTGCATTTATGTACTACAGTTTGTTTAATTATTCCCTGATCAATGGACATCTACTTTCTTTCTAGTTGTTTACTACTGTAAAAAATGCTGCTAAAAACATTTTTGTTTATATGGGGACATTCTTTTTGTTTTGTGTACTCCTTGGCCTACCTAATAGTGGGCTCCCTGGGTAAAAAGATGTTGTCACTTTAGTCGCTTTTCTTTGATAATTCCATGGTTGGACCAGTTTTGAGTTCCACCAGCAGTGTGTTAGGGTGCCTGTGTTTCCACAATCCCTGCAACGTTGATTTTATCATCTTCACCAGTTTCCTGGATGTCAAGTGAAACCTCAGAGTTGTTTTGATTTGTATTTCTCTTATTAATGATTTGGTGTTGTCTTTCATATGATTGTTAATAATAATAATGATAAAAAGTTCTGAGCTACTTATGTGTTTAAGGAACATCTCCTGAGTTTTTGTTTTTGTATTAATGTGCTATACACTTTGGATATCAGACCCTTAGTGGAGATGACGATGATGATGATAATTTATTTAGCACTTTAAGGTTGCAAATATCTTTATATATATTTTACAACAACACTGTAAGGTAGCTACTATTCTTACTCCCACTTTATAGATAAGTGTAATGAGTCTGAGAGAGGTGAAATGACTTGCTCCATGTGAAGCAAGATTCAAACTCAGGTCTTCCTGACTTCAAGTGTGACACTCTGTCCGCTGCTTAACCTTGATGTTTGATCTGAATATTTTTTTTCCCATTAGATAATTTCCCTTCTTATCATAGTTGCATATCACAGTTCTTATCATAGTTCCCTTATCATAGCTTGTTCATGCAAAAGAGCTTCAATTTCATGTAATTGAAATGATCTTTTTTTTTTGTGATTGCTTCTTTTGTTTGGTTAGCATTCTTCCCCCTAGGTATAGTTGTGGAAGGTAACTAATCTGATTTCCTTCTTACTTTTTTTATGGTGTGACCCTTAATATTCAGATAGCATGTCTGTTTTGAACTTATTATGGCATATATTGGTCTAAACCTAATTTCTTCCAGACTGTTTTTCAGTTTTTTATCAAATCTTTGTTAGATAGGAAGTTCTTCCCCTAAGATTTTATGTAATTCAGCATATTGAACTTCGGGCTAAGTTATCAATGACCTTATGTATCAACCAAGGATTGTATTTTTGATCCTAGAGGTAATAAGAGAGCCACTGGAATTTATTGAATGAAGGGAGCGATGTCACACCTGTGCTTTAGGAAAATCGCTTTGATATTTGATTCTAGCATGGTTAGAAGTGGAGAAATATATAAGATAAGGAGGAACAACCAGAGGGCTGTTGCAATAGTCCTGGCATGAAGTTATGAGATTCTGTGTCATTATGGTAGCTATGTGAGTAGAGATAATGGGACATAGATTAGAGATTTTTGTAAAGATAGAAATGACAAGACTTGACAACAGATTGCATTTCCTTGAATTAGAAGTCAAGGATAACACTGAGGTTGTGCGCTTCAGGGATTGGGAGAATAGTGATATTTTCAACACTGATGGAAAAGTTGTGAAGACGGAAAGATGGGGTACAGGGAAGGGAAGATAACAGGTCATGTTGAATTTGAGATGTCCAAAAGGCAGTTGGTGATATATAACTCAGGAGAGAGACTACAGCTAGATTAAAAAAAAAATCTGGGAATTATTTGCATAGAGATGATAATTATACCCATTGGAACTGCGGACATTACCAAGTGAGATAGTGTAAAAGATCTAAGGTAGAGCCTTGGGGGATATACCCTGTTAATGTATAAGAACAAAGGAGACATGTGGAGAGTAATACAGGATTGTGATTTGGCAAAGTATAAAGGTCAAGAGGTTTGAGTGTAGAAGGTAATGTAGAGTTGCATTGATTTACCAAGGGAAGGAAACCAGTACAGGGGTGATGGCCTGAGAAAGACATGAAAGATGAAGGGAAATTAGTGGTCATGGGGAGGATGAAGGACAAGATTAGGGGTCATAAGGCATTCACTTTTTATATTTTCAATCATTGTTCTTTCTGTTTACGTTATTCTAATCATTGTGTATATTATTTTCCTTGTTCTGTTTAACTTCACTTAGTACAATTTCTAAGTCTCCCATTTGTGCAGTGATATTTAATCACATTCATGTATCACAGCTTAGCCATTCTGTAGTCAATGGCTATCTAGTTTGTTTTTAGTTTTTTGTTACTACAAAAAAATACTACTATAAACATTTTCATGTATATCTTGTTCCCACCTAAGTTTTTTTTTAATAGTATTACATTTACAATCAGGTCACATATTCATTTTGAGCTTTTTGTGGTACATCGTGTAAGGTGTTCTAATCTAAACCCAATTTCTGCTTTACAGATTGCTTTTCAGTTTTCCCAGATGTTCTTGTCGTATAGGCTGTTCTTCCCCAAGAGTTTTTGTTTTGGCTTTATTAACACTGAATTACTTATAATTGTTTCTGATTTTTCCTTATCCTGTCCATTGATCTATTCTTCTATAACTGGTACCAAATAGCTTTGGTGATTACTACTTTATGATATAATTTGAGATCTGAAATCACTATTCTCCTTCATTCTTACTTTTTTTTCATTATTTTCCTTGAGATTTTAAATCTTTTGTTCTCCCAAATGAATTTTATTATTATTTTATCTCTGTCTAGGAAGTGTCATTTTGGTAATTTGATCAGTATAGTACAAAATCTGTTCATTTAGATAGTATTATATGTCTTGGGGTGTTTTTAATGTGATTAGCTGCATTATTCTCTTAATGTTAAACATCCTTACATCCCAAGTTGATCATAGTGAATATTTTTTGTATATATTGTTGTAGTCTTTTTGCTAAGATTTTATTTAAATTTTTGAATTCATATTTATTATCCTTTCCTGATTTAGGAATTGATTCTATATTTGTCTCATAAAAGAAGTTTTATAAAGTGTTTTCTTGCTCAGTTTCTGAGAATAAATTGTATAATATGGATATTAATTGTTCTTTGGAAGTTTCGTAGAATTCACCTGTAAATTCATCTAGATCAGGGTTTTTCTTGCCTTTGGTAATTCTGTTAGTAGCTTACTTCCTTTGGTAGCTTAATTTTATTACATGGCACATAGTAAGCACTTAATAAATGCTTGGTAACTTTTTCTCAAATTGGATTGTTTGAGATTTTTATTTCATGTTCTGCTGGTTTGGGTATGTTATATATGTTGAATTCTCAGTTTTGCTAGCATATGGTTATGTATCATAGGCTCTTTATCAGAACATGATTTTTATTTCTTCTCTCTTATTTTGTTAATTTTAGGATGTTAATTTGATTTTCTTCCTTCATCTACTTTTAATTAGGTTAGCCCAAAATTTATTGTTTGATGGATTTTTTTGCTTAGTCTTTCAAAAAAATATTTTAAGTTTTGCTTATTAATGCTGTAGTCATTTTGGTTTTCAGATTATATCTTTTTACTTCAGTGTTTAAGATTTTATTTTTCGTGTCTGTTTTGGGTTTGTCCATATGTTGATTTTTTTCTAATTTTTTAAATTGAATATTTAGTTCATTAATTCTTTCTTTTCTGATTTGATAATGTATGTTCCCAGGTGTAATATTTCCTCTGAGGACTTGTTTAACTTCTTTCACTGGGACTTTCTAAAATCTCAGAGATTTTGTTTTCTAATATCCTTATTATTCTTTTTCACATAATATTGTTTCTATGTTTTTTTCTTTGATCCATTCATGTCAGTTTTTATTTAGGTCTTTATGTTTTGCTTCTGTTTCCTAGTATCAATTACTATTTTTATTATGTCTTTAAAGGATGTGTTTACTACTTTTGCTTTTTAAAGTTCATTTTAAATTTCTGCTGGGGCTGAAGGTTGAATTTAGGGAAATTTGGATTCTTCTCATTAAAAATGGCAGAGAATGGCTTTTTGCCAAAGGTTTGTATGGAATGATAGGATCATAGAGTTAGCATTAGAAGGACCTTTGTTGTTCAGTTGTTTCAGTCATGTCTGACCCTTCATGATCCCATTGGGAATTTTCTTGGAAAAGCTGCTGGAGTGGTTTGCCATTTCCTTCTCTAGTTCATTTTACAGATGAGGAAACCGAGGCAAACAGGGTTAAGTGACTTGGGTCACATGACTAGTAAGTGTCTGAGGCCAGATTTGAACTCAGGAAAATGAGTTTTCCTGACTTCAGGCCCAGCACTATCCGCTGTGCCACCTAGCTGCCTAGAACGACCTTTGAAAGTTATCTAATTGAACCCCCTCACTTTATAGGTGTAGAAATTGAGGTACTGAGGGGTCAAATGATTGCCCAGGGTCAGTCAGTAGTAAGTGGCAGAGCAGAGTTTCAAGTCCAGGTCTTCCAACTCTGCAGCCATTGCTCTTCCTGTAGCATCCTGTACCTTCTTTGTGGGTAGGTCCTTTCCTTTTTTATTCCTTTGTATCTCCAGGCCTCCTGCTGTATGTTTTAAATATTGGAAAATCTTGCTTGAGATGTCATAGCCAATTCTTTGAAATTTATCCTTCTCTTCAATCAGATTTATTACTGCAGCCGAACACACTCTCAGCTGATACAGTTTGTGCATGAGGTACAGAAGAGCCCCTTTGGTAAAGAGACGCGACTTATCTCCCTCGGTTCCCGGCAGGTGGGTGAGAGCCAGGACATTGGGGTTCCTTGTTTTACCTATACATTGTTGCTTGACCTCTGACAAGTAATCTCCCTCATAGAATCTTATCTGCCACCCAATTCACTGTGGGAATGTAGGGCTTAAGCTTTAGGGAAAAGTTACATGAAATTTGAAAATTGGCTTTTGGTATTTTCTGAACCTTTACCAGATTCCCAATGACACTCTCATGTTTGAGAGTCTTCCATTCAGTCCTTTCTGCCAAAGAATATGTAAGTCCTGGCAAGTGGAGTTTACTTTTCCTTCTGTCTTGTAGAACCTTTGTGTGAATGAAGAAGTAAAACGCCTGGGGTCAGTCCACCTCATCAATGACCGCTGTCTGGAGATGCAGAAAAACAAGCATGGTAGTACCTCCTGTGACTTATAGGATTAGGCATGATGTAGATAAAGTACTTTGCAAATCTTACAGTGCTATGATTGAAACTAGAAAAAAAAGTAGAGATGAGCAGATAATTGAAGGAATGAATAAAAAGGGTTTGTGGCAAAGTTGGACTGGGAGTGCTAGGAACAACAAAAAATGAGCCTAATAGAAATATGGTGGGGCACTGAGGTGGTGCAGTGGTTAGAGCACTAGCCCTGGAGTCAGGACGACCTAAGTTCAAATTCGACCTCAGATACTTGACACTTACTAGCTGTGTGACCCTAGGCAAGTCACTTATCCCTATTTCCTCCCCCCACCCCCAAAATAATAAAGGAAATATATGGCCAGATATCATGAGGTCATCCCTGGGTACCATTGAACATGTTCTCCAGGAAAGTGTGGCCCTTGCCTTTTGGGTGGTTCCAAGTCAATCATTCAGTCAACATACATTTATAAAATTTACTGCATGCCAAGCACTATGCTAAATGTTGGAGATCCAGAGAAATTGAAAAAAAACCCAACAGTCCTTGTCTCAAGGAATTCACATTCTAATGGTGGCAGAGGGCGTGTAAATAGCTAGGCTGTAAATTAATCTAGCAGCTGGGGGAATTGGGAAAGGCCTTCTGCTAAAAGTGAAATTTGAATTGAATTTTGAAGGAAGTTGGGAAAAATTAAGAAGCAAAGGTGAGGGGATAGAGAATTCCAGACATAGGGGGAAAGCAAAGCAGAGGTAGAGTTTGTTTGAGAGGCGTGTTTCAGGAACTGTAAGTAGACCAGTGTTGCTGAATTGTAGATTGTGTAAAGGGGAATAAGGTGGGAAGGGGCTTTAGATGCCCAACAGGACTTTGTATTTGCTTCTGTAGATAATAGGTAGCCACTGAAGCTCTATGAATAGGGGCATGAAATGATCGCATATGTGCTTTAGGAAAGAATCATCATGGCAGCTAAGTGGATGCTGGATTGGAGTGAGGAGAGATTTGACACAGGGAGACTAGTTAAAAAGGCTATTGCAGTAGCCCAGGTGGGAGGTGATGAGGGCCTGAAGTAGGGTTGTGGCCATGTGAAGGGAGAGAAGTAGATACAAATGAGAGACATGGTGACGGTAGAAATTATAAGATTTGGCAGTGGATTGGATGTGGAGCAAGTACGGGTGAGGAATTGAGAATAATACTGAAGGCTACCTCAGTGACTAAGAGAATGGTGGTGCACTCAGGAGTAATGGGAGAATTCAAGAGGAGAAAGTGTTGGGGAGAAAGATAATGAGTTCTGTTTTGGCCATGTTGAGTTTGAGATGTCTAAGAGACCATTGGAAATGTATGACAACTCAGCAGAGGGACTGAGGCTGGGAGATGTAGATCTGGGAATCATCTGCCTGGAAATGATAATTGAACCCACAGATGCTGATAAGATTACTAATTGAGATAGTATAGAATAAAAGGAAAATGAGGCACAGGATAGAGCTGTGGGGGACATTAATGATATGTAGGCAAGAGATGAAGAATCAACAAAGAAAATGGAGGAGAGGTAGGCATACCAAGAGAGAGCAGAATCATGAAGGCCTAGAGAAGAGCATCCAGGAGAAGAGAGTGATCAGCAGTGTCACATGCTGCAGTGAGGTCAAGGAGGGATGAGGATTGAGAAAGATAAGACAGAATTTTTGGGACCAGCAAATGTGGGAATTTGTTTGGCTTAACTACAGACAGTTCTTGATTTACGTAAACTTGTATTACAAATTCAACTTTATGTAAATAATTCTGAAAGAAATCCACATTACTAAAAATCCTATATTAACTTTACTGTACAGTACTGTGTGCTCTCTCTCTGGCCCCTCAGTTCAGCACTTTGTAGCCTCACACCATCTTCCCCCCTCCCCCCAAAAAACCTGCACCCTTCAAGTGAATGCAAAAGAACAAGTGTGAGGGGAGACCACCACAGATGCCACCAGCTGGATCTGGGGCTTGTCTTGAGACGTCTGACAGTGCCAAAAGAGAAGACTTTTGCCTTGCTCTGCCCACGTGTCTTGTCTTCTGTCTCTCCACTCCAGTACTATGTGACTATTCCTGGACACCGCATGTCACTTATCCCTCCTGTCAGTTTCTGTGTCCAGCCCCTATGTGTCTGCCCCACCCCCTTGTGTTCTTCCTCTAGGTTCCAGCCAGGCCCCTCCCCACCATTATCCTCCTACTCTTGTTTTTCTGTCTCTAGCTCCCACCTGTCCTTGAACTGTGTGATGGCCCCCTCCTTCCACAGGCAGGCAAACAGCCCCTTTCCTGTCTCCTTTCCTTCCTCTCTCCTCTCCCTATTTCTGTGGGCAAATTCACATTTTATAAAAATTGCTTTACATAGAGGTCTGCAAAACCATCTACTTACTTACCACTTTATGTAGACGTCTGTGGAATGGTCCACTTAAGTAAAGTGAGGGCTATCTGGATGCATATTTATTAAAAGGGCTTTCTTTTTTCTTTTCCAGTGGGGGGTGGAGAGAAGGGATTGGGAAGGGTAGAGTTGAAGAAAAAAAGACAAGGAAGAGAGGCATCGAGGCATCTGTAAAACAAAATACAGAGAAAGAAACAGATGCAATGCCAGAAAGAAGCAGAGACAAGCAGAACCACTTTGGAAGCTACAGGTTGAATTTTTCATATACTTAAAAAGCAAGCTATACAGAATGGAGAGCTACATTTTCTTTGACAGCCCTCTTTCTGTTTTCCCTCATATGTGAAAATGCTTATTTTGTTTGGTACTTGTTAAGTTCAGAATAAAAATAGATTTAAAACAAACAAAGCACTCTTAAGTCCAGCTCCAGTTGGGTTGCCACACTGTTTGAATGACCTTGAAATCTTTACTGTTCTTAGCATTGGCTATTCTCTGGGTTCAGGGCAATAGCAGAGCTGTGAAGCCATATGAAGCGAAGACTTGAGAAGTGCTTCTAGATCTTCCATAGAAGAGCCTGCCTTGCTCTTTTTTAAGCTTGGTTATCCACTTCTCTTTCTGCCTTTGTTGCCCTTCTTGACTTTCCCCTGTTCAGAGAAGAAAAATAAAGAGGAAGAAAAGGCAAAGAAGAGGAAAACTGAGACTCGTACTTCCTGCCCCTTCTACAACTATGAGCAGATGCAGTTTCTTCGTGATGAGGTTCTCATGGAAGTGAAAGACATTGAACAGCTGGTAGCCCTAGGGAAGGAGGCTCAAGCCTGCCCCTACTATGGAAGCCGTTTTGCCATTCCTTCAGCCCAGGCAAGTACTCCTTGAGGAAGATGAAGCTCAGACTGTTCCTCTTCTCCCTTTCCTGCTTTTGACTTTAGCCCAGGCCACAAGGGATCCCTGCAGCTCTGGGCTTACCTTTCCCATTTAGTTTTCACTAACCTGTTGGTTTTCAGCTATTTTTTTTGTCACATGTCTTTTGGGTTAGGTATTTTTATGATTGAGAAAATTTAAGAAAACTAGACTGATATAGATTATGCCAGCATGGAGTAGACTCACACTTACCATTGTGCCTATGGACTACTCCTCTCTGAGTCTGTTTTCAACAAAACAGAAAACAGTCCATACAATAATCTCCAGCCTTTTGACTGTCTTCATTGTCATAGGAGTCACAAGTGTTTCTTGTGTAAAAGCCAGTGTTTTTAAAAAAAAAATTTGTTAAATAATAATTATTTAAAAATCCTATCTTGCATACCTGTACATATTTTTTTGAAGCATCAATATTACCTATCTCATTGTGTCCTAATAATCCTCAGAGAGATAAGTAGGAGAGGTTATTATTTTCCCACATTTCTGCATATAGGGAATTTGCAACCCAGAAAGTTTAAGTGATTTATCTAATGCCTTATAGTACATTAGTAGTAGAATCAGTATTAAAATAGCCCTTTTGATTCTTTGCTCACTCACTTTCTATTGTTAGCCCATTTAGAGCTACAAGGCTCAGGAGATATACACGTGGATACATTCCAAACAGAAAAAGAAAAAGTGATTCATTCACCTGCTAACCTATGAGCCTAGGGATTTAGAGTTTGATACATTTGAGTGAATTCCACTGACTGCTGACACAGTCTGTACCTCTTTAACTCATAGCTGGTGGTTCTCCCTTACCAAATGCTGCTGCATGCAGCCACCCGTCATGCTGCTGGCATTAAACTTGAGGGGCAAGTGGTGATCATTGATGAAGCCCACAACCTGATTGATTCTATCACAAGCATCCACAGTGCTGAGGTTAGCGGTTCCCAGGTGAGTCGGTAAGCAGCAGTGCCATAAGGATGTATGCCTTTCTCAGAAGTGTGAGGAAAGGGCCAGGGGTGATCATTTGGCAAAGCAAGAGGTGTTATATCTGTCCACAGTGTTGTATGTAATTTGAATAAAAGAGTATCTTTATTGTCACACCAGGTTTAGTTCCTTGACCTTTTCAAAGCCATGCTGTGACTCAGAGAAATATTGGAGTTGCTTGCTCTGTGGTCAGAATGCAGATGAAATGTCTTTTTACCTTGTTTCTTCTATACTGCCCATTATCAATTTGACCCAATCTAACTTTGGGGAACTCTTAAATTCTTTCTTACCACATAGGAAATGTTACGTGATTGCAAGCAGAAATGTCTTGTTTGCCCTGTGTTGCAGGAAGAATTTAGAAGGCATCATGACTGAGAACTGCCTTCTGTATCTCATATAATACTGACATAAGAGCAGGCTGTCTTCAGGATAGGGTGTGGACCTTCTAGGGACCACCATACTTTTTCCTGAACAAGTGTAAGTTATCAGGGAATGCTGCTGTCCTCTTGGGTCCCATATTCTTGGTTTTGAAGCTAATTCAATTCAACAAGCATTGTTTACATTCCTACTTTGTACAAAGCACTCTCCTGGGTGCTGGGGATATGAAGACTAAACAAAACAAAAAATTCCTGCCCTCAATAAGCTTACATTTTATTGGGGAGATACAACATATAAATAGATATTTCATCATAGTTTTCAGTATCCTCTTTCTCATTAAATTAAGAGTCTTTGTTGGATCTCAGGTAGACATTCCTTTCAGTAGAAAACCTTTAATTTAGGACTTACCAAGGGGGAGAGGGAACAAGGGGACATGCACTTACTGAGCATCTATTATAATGTCAAGCACTTTAAAAATATTCTCTCATTTGATCCTCATGACCCTGGGAAGTAGGTGCTATTGTTATCCCCATTCTGAGGCAAGTCACACAGGTAGTAAATGTCTAAGACCAGATTTGAACTCGGGTCTTCCTGATTCCAGGCTCTGCACTCTATCCATTGTGCCCCCTAGCTCCACAGGAGACTATCTTTGGAGCCATTTCTTGATGATCTCATCAGCTCCTAGTGTTTAATGATCATCATTTAATTATCATGCAAATGGAGTCCTAGGTCCAGTCCCTCTTTTCTTTTTCCTGAGCTCCGTTCCTATATCACCAACTGTCTATTAGACATTTTGAACTTGATTTCTCGTCGACATCTCTAACTCCATACGTCCAAAATATTACTTGTTGTCTTTGTCCAAAAACCTGTAGCTCTTCCAAACTTCCTTCTTACTCTTTAGGACAGCACTCTCCCTCCAGTCACTCAGGTTCACAACCTTGGTGGAATCTTCAATTCCTTATTCTCCTTCCATTTAACTAATCATTTGTAAAATATTGTAACTTCTTTCTCTGTGAGGTCTTTCCGATATTTCCCCTTATCTTAGCTTACATAGACACCATCTTAGTTCATGTCCTCATTACCTCTTGCCTGGACCAATAACCTCCTAATCGGACTCCATGCCTCAGGTCGCTGTGTGTTCCAGTCCATTCTCCACCGAGTTATCAATCATTTTCCTAAAGTGCAAATCTGACCACCTCACTCAGCAAACTTCCTATGATTTCTAGAATTAAAGTCATTTGTTTAGCATTTGAAGCTCTTCACAACCTGACGCCTTCGTGTTTTTCTAGTCTATTATATACATTCCGTGGTCAGCTACACTGCTGTTGTTCACAGATAACACCCCAGCCCCCTTCTTCATGCCTTTGCACTTGGCTTCCTTTGTGCCTGAATGTTCTTCCCCCTTTAACTTCTGCCTCTTAGAGTCCTTGGTGCCCTTCAAGACTCAGCCACCTGCCACCTCTTCCAGCAGGCCTTTCTCAGTTCCGAGCTCTTATTGCCCTCCCCTCTAAGGCTACCTTTTATCTACTCCGTTCATATCCTTTGTGTAACTATTTATGTATATGTTGTTTTCTCCATTAGAATGTAAGCTCCTTGAGAGCAGGGACTGTTCTGTTTTTTTCATTAGCACTTAGCACAGTGCCTGACCCATTGGCAGATAGTAAGATTAATAAATGTTTGTTGATTGATTTAGTCCATACTGCATCTATGTCCGCTACTTCTCTTTACTTTTCCTTACTCGTGTGAGTCCTTGACTGCCATACTGAAGGCCTGCTTGGAAATTTCACTTTTCTATGATGCTGCCTCAGTTCTGGGTAACTCACCCTACGAGCAGGTTTTTCTTTCACAGCCATTTTTCTCTGTTCACTCCTAGCTCTGCCAGGCTCACTCCCAGCTGTCTCAATATATGGAGCGCTACAGGTGAGCTTCCTCTAGAGGTATAAATGGACATGATAAAAAGACTTGGGCTTCTCCTAAGTCTTAGCCGCCACAAGTTGAAAGGGTTCTAAGTATATTTTCTCTTGTGCAGCCCTGGAGCAGAACATTTACTGAGTTGATAATAGCATGTGTCCTATTACAGGCCTGTGGTTAATTTGAGCTTATGGTTAACCCCATTACTAAACTACTGATCACTGAAGTCCTTAGACATTGGGGGTCAGCTTTTCCCTTGGGGGTTCCCTGTGATGGGTTGCCCACTTGTAATGGTTTCAGACAAAAGAGATTTGTTGAAGGGCCAGAGAACCAAGGCTGGGGGTATGGATGTATTATTTTCAGGTTACTTGATGTTCATTGGCTCTTTTATAGGAAACTTTTGAAGGCCAAGAACCTGATGTACATCAAACAAATTTTGTATTTGCTGGAGAAATTTGTGACTGTTTTGGGTGGTAAGAGAAGTTCTATTCTTATCTAATCCACTAACCTTCTAAACCAGATTGATCCTTTTTTTTTCTTGTTTATTTACCATGGCATGTCCCTCATCATATAGGCCACGTAATGCTTGAGACAGGCATTCCAGACTCCTGGGTTCTGTTGACTTTATAATTGACTCATTATGTGGCCCCAGGGTTTGTTCTTTAGTTCTCCTTGTCCCTCTGTAAAATAAGATTATCCTGCTTTTCTCCCTGCCTCAAAGGAACATTGTAAAAAGAAGATGACATTTAATAGTATGTGAGTTCCTTTAGGGAACATGTCTTACTGTTTAGCGTGTGTGCATGTGCATATGCATAAATGCGTGTGTATATTGGTTCCCTTTACTGTCACTGAGCATTTAGGTGAGTTGGAGCAATATAGAGTAGCAATCTCCTCATGTCATGGCTTGATTTTTTTTTTTCCAGGAAATGTGAAACAGAATCCCAACACTCAAAACCTCTTTCAAACAGGTAAGAACACGTTTAGCTGAACTAGGCCTGAAAAGGATTTTGAAACTGAGATCTGCAGAACTCAGAAATATGAGGAATCTTCATTTTCTTTACTCTCAGGGACTGAGTTAAAGACCATCAATGACTTCCTGTTTCAGAGCCAGATTGACAATATCAACCTATTCAAGGTAGAGTTTATGTGTGTTCTAGGTGTGTCCATCTATAGAATTTCTGTGATCTGTGAAGCTCTGCTTCGCAGTCATTTAAAAATCTTTGATGAGTCCTCGCTTATGTGCAAATAGATCATTGTCCTAAATCCTGTGGAAGAGATTCTGTACTGAAGTTGTTTGAGGTCTAGTTGAGAAGACATAATAAATATATTTAAAGTGGATTAAGAACAGTTAAAAGCAGCATATCAGCAAATGCAAAGTATATGAACCAAGAATGCCAAAGGTATATAAAAGTGTGATCATAGGTAGTTATGGTTTATCCCATAGGATAAACAGGGAAGACATTTTCTGTTTTTAAAGCTCTCGTTGGAGCCAAGAGGTTAATAAGAGTCAAGTCCTAGCCCATCACTAAAATGGGTCAGAATGATGATAAAAGATCATCTTTTCCTATCTTAACCCTAGTGAACCCACTTTCCTTCTGGTTTCCATATTGCCACAGATTTCTTCCTATTCAAGTCTCTTATTTGTAGTTTTCTATTGGATATTTCCACCTAGGTAACTTCTTGGCACCTCAAATGCGGTATATCTAAACCAAATTTATAATCCCTCCCAGATCACTTCTTCCTCCTTATTTCCTTGTTTCTGCTAATGGTACCACCTTTTTTCCCCACTTCTGCTAATGGTGCCACCTTTTTTCCTATTCAGTCTGACTGGAAACCTCAGAGTCATCTCTGTCTTCTTTCTTTCCTGATGTCCAATCAGCTGTTGAGAACGTCCATTAGAGAGGGAATTCCTGTGGATTGGTATAGATGATTTTTGAGGTTTCTTCTAATGTTGACATATCGTGATTCTGTACTTCCTGTGCAATGTCTCAAATTTTTTCCTTGAAAAAGAAATCCTATGCCAACCTTTAACATCCCAGTTCAGGCTTTTGTTAGTTACAGACACCAAACTTATTTTACTATAAACTTAATATTCAAAGTAAACTACATTTAATTAAAAATGGACCCAAATAAATAGTAATTTTCTAAACAGTAATTTCTAAGGGTAATTTTTCTAACCCTTCTTATTTGAACCATTTATATCTTATATATGGAGAGAAAAAAGTAAAAGCATATCTATATCTGTACTGTTTTTGCCTTCTAAATGGGGCCTTGAAGCCCCATTAATTCTATTTCCTTTGACTTTAGAAAATATGATTGCATTCACTGTGTAGCATGTGGTCTGATTACTGTTGTTCTGACCTGAACTTTGTAGGCTCCTGGCCTTGGTTTGGGGCCAGAGTGACATAGCAGCAAGTTCTAGGTGTCCCTGGCTTACCTTTGTTCATGCACTAGAAGGCTTTCATGTGCTATGCTGCTGGACCCACATGCCTTTTGGGGTCAACCTCTTCCCTAGTACTTATAGGCTTCTGGCTGTCTGTGTAAGCTAGACCTGGAAAAAGGAGGCCCCTCTGATTTCTTGAAAGCAATTGCCTCTAAAGGATTGGGTGTGATCGGGCTGCAACACTGAAGAATTTTAATGAAGAACAAGAATAAAAGGTGTCACCTAGACAGCCTGAGTGCTCCATTGATATCCTTAAGGTATTGGGAGAAAGTAAGCAAAGCCTCTAGTAGATTGAGTAAACTCTGTGATAAATTGGAGAGGACATAGACAAGAGTCATGCAGGATGGGCAGGCCAGGGGATTGTATATAAGAAATACCCAATTCCATGAGATCATTGATCTGAGTATTTGAGTTTTTCTGCTTTGTGCATACTATCTACAATTTTGTCTTAACCAGAAATTTGTAGCCTGTGTTCCAGTTCTTCTTACATATTTCTGTAAAATTTATATTCCTAAAAAATATACTTCCTTTGATCAAGAGCCTTGAATAAAGGCTACCTACCAATAAAGTTCAAACTCTGTATCTTGGTGTGCAGGATCTATCGCATTTTGGCTCTAAGTCACTTCTCAGCCTTATCCTGTGCTAACTTCATTCTCTATGTCTTATATCCTGATTAAGCTTAGCTACTTACCCAGTATTTTACCATATCTGTACCTTTCCAGAAGCAGTTCCTTCTGTTTGCAGTGTTCTGGCTTTTATTAGTACTTATCATAATTTTCCAACACATCCTTCAAGACTCAGTTCAAAAGCTTTTTCTTCTAAGTACCCTTTCTTGAACCCTCAGGTGGAAGTGACCTCTTAATTCCTTGGAGCCCCTCATAGCACTTTGTACCATTTGTGGCACTTAAAGTCTTGCCTTGTCTGAGTTATTGGTGTACTTTGTACCTAAGGTGCCTTGTAGTGGTAGGTACATAATATTTATTAAATTAAATTAGGACAGTCAATAGGAAGAAAATCAGGGGTGGGAAAGATGGGGGTTAGTTCCTAAATAGCAGAGAGATTGGAGTGTTCTACATGTCTAAATCCAACTAATAGGCGTATTAAGTCCTAGAATTGTGTTGAAATTGGAAGCTTTCATATAAGCTTGGTGTGTGGGGGAGATTTTTTTTTAAGTGAGGCAATTGGGGTTAAGTGACTTGCCCAGACTCACACAGCTACGAAGTATTATGTGTCTGAGGCCAGATTTGAACTCAGGTCCTCCTGACTCCAGGCCGGTACTCTATCCACTGTGCCACCTAGCTGCCCCTATAGAGATGTCCTTTGAAGAGAAAAGGTGTGCTTATTTGACTTGGGTATTTTGGTGTGAGAAGGTGAATGTTTGATGGTTAATTACCTAGGTGTTTTCTTTTTTATTTCTTCGGCCATTTGGCTGTTTCACTACTAGGTTGAACTTTCACTAGAGTGAGCAGAAGGGAATCTATTTTATGATTTGTCAGTAACCCTGGGAACATTTTGACATGAAAGGTTGAACTTCCTGGCTAAAATAAGACTTGGATTCTTGGGAGTGTCAGCAGTCTGTGCTACTGCTGTCCTTCACCAGTAGTAACATTTGGGACTTAGTACTGGTTCCTTGTTTCTACAGGTACAGCGGTATTTTGAGAAGAGCATGGTTAGCAGAAAGGTAAATACTTTCTCTTTTTATGCATATCTTCCAATTTAGATGGGCTTTATTGGCCAGGTTTGGGGCACAAGGAAATAGTTAGTATCTTGTTGGTCCTTTGGAAATGCAATTTGAAGCTGTTCCTTTCCATCTAGAAGATTTTACTAGGTAGCTCTCCACCTTCCTCCCCCACCCCTCCTTCCTTTTTTTAGGCAACTACCTCTAGTGTTGTTATACTTGGAGTCATTAGACTCTAGTTCTGCCATTTCCTAGCTGTATTGATCTTATGCAATGTATTTAATCTTCCCTGAGCACCAGTTTCTTGATCTGTAAAATGGGTATAATATTTGCAGTTTGCCCCAATACAGCTATTTGGATTCACCAAGGAATATGGTGGTGTCTCTATCCTTCCACCTTCTAAAGAGCGATCCAAGTTGGCTGGTTTCCAACACTTCTTGCAGAGCCTTAAGCCTGGGACTGGAGGTGAGTTAAGGTTAGGAAGAAGCCAGGTTCCAAATTCTTGGGCAGAAGAAATGGTTAACAGCTTCAGGAAGGTTTTTTCCTCTTCCATTTTAGACACCTTTCTTTCTGTTTTGCAGCAGCTCCATCATCTCCTTCTGGAGAGGATGAGAGCAGACCACCTTGGCTTGGCTCTCCATTGATGCAGATTGAAAGCTTCCTTGCAGCTCTCACCACTGCCAACCAGGATGGCAGGATAATTGTGAGCAGACAAGGTAATCCTGCCTCCAAGCCTAGGCCTCTTGTAGCTAGGTTCTCTCTGAAAACCCGATGGAATACATGAGTAAGGATTCCCATTTTTCTCTCTTGAAGTCATTATGAGGTAGTAAAGAGGTAAGGTCAGTCTCATGTATTCCACAGGGAATGGAAATGATACCTAAAAGGGAGGCTTCATGTGCAAGAACAGAGGGAATGATATTAGAAGGGAGTAACAGAATGGACATTTTCAGGGCATTGTTTAGTTTTTTTGCCTTTGAAAATATAAATAAACCCTGGAAGGAAAGTTGTTAAAAACAATGGGATCCCAGAAAAGGGTAGTGGTTCATAGGATCATACTCTCAAAGTAGAAGGGACCTCAAGGTACATACAGTTAGTTCAGTGCCCTTATTTTATAGCTGAGGAAAGTTAGGGAAGTAAAGTGACTCGCCCAAGGTCACAAAGTTAGTAAATGTGAGAGGTAGAATTAGAACCTAGAGTTGGCATTGTTTCTCATGTATCCTAATGTGGAACATCCTCAGACCCTGTAGTGGGGAAAGTATCTGTTCTCTGTGTCCAGCTTTCTTGCTCTAATCAAGGAAAAGGTATCCGTGGGGCTTAACACTCCCTATTCGTAAGCAACTGCCTTCCTGTCTCCTTTCTTTAGGCAGCTTGAGTCAGAGTAGCCTCCGATTTCTCCTCCTGAATCCCTCGGTGCACTTTGCCCAGGTGGTAAAGGAATGTCGGGCAATGATCATTGCTGGAGGCACCATGCAGCCGGTGAGGAGCGTGGGTACATCTTGTGTTTAGTTCACTCTTCTGGTACATGTGATGGGTGGTAACCCCATGTCTGGGAAAGGGTGGCCAGAGTCAGGGTGAGGCTTTGTCCACAAGGTGGCAGTGCTCCCCTGCCATTCATCACACCTCTCAGCTTGTTAGTGCCTGCCTCCTGTGTATGCTTCAGCAACCTATGGACCCTGACTTTCTCCCTGAGAAATCACCTGTTTTTGTGCTCCCTCACTCTTGCTCCTTGACCCACCACACTGCTCTTCCATGCCCACCATAGAGTATTCAACCTTTTTTTTCCCCGTAAATTCAGAGGAGTTAGGTTCAAATTTTGGTTCTTCTTTCTTTTTACTAGCACAGTGACTTTGAGGAAGTTGCTCATCATATCTCTTTCCTTATCTGTAAAATGCCAGGGTTGCACTAGATGATCATCTGACTCTCCCCAGGTTCCCCCGCTCCTACCTCCACACACACATTTCTACCCTGCTTCATTGCCATCCCACATAACTCAGCCTCCTGTCCCCGTTGTCTCTCATTGATGATTGGCTTTTTTGTATCTTGGTTTTTATTTAGATGGCTGATTTTCGTGAACAGTTGTTAGAGTGTGCTGGGATTGGAACAGAGCGTGTGGTTGAGTTTTCCTGTGGTGAGTACTCCTTCCCAAGATGGGGTATACTGAGGGGCATTTACCCATTGGCCATGGCTTTATGTTTTGGGACTGTGCAGTTTGAGGGCTCTGTGACTCGAGGTCCTTAATTGCTTCCTCTTTGACCTTGTGTCCTACTTCCCAGGCCTGGCTCTGATAGGGATTAAAAACTCTGACTTCACCCTAACTGTGCTGGACACAGGTGGTTGGTTCATCCTTGGCTAACTTTCTTCCAATTATGTACTCTAAAGCTCATGCTTCTGTATTCCTCTTCTCCACCCATGTTTTCATAGTTCATAGATTTGAATATTCCCCTAGAAGAGGAAGATCTACTCTTCTATATTGTCATCCTAGATCTCCTCCAGAAGGACAAGGATAATTTTGCTTAAGTTCTACCTCTAGCTATAGCTTTGGTCTTCATCTTAGTCTTTATTTCTGGTTTTTGTCAGGCCACGTAATCCCTCCAGACAATATTCTACCCATTGTCCTTTGCAGTGGGCCCTCTAATCAGCAGTTGGAATTCATCTATCAGAAGAGAGAACTGCCTCAAATGGTCAGTACCATTCCACTTGTAGGAGAAAAATTATTGTAGAGTGGAGGGAGTAAAAACCATTTTGACTGAAGAAAGGGAGAGGTGAAGGGAATAAACATTTATATAGTACCTGCTATGTGCTGGGCACTGTGCTGATGTTTATTACTTCATTTGATTCTCAAAACAGCCAGGCAAGGTAGGTGCTGTTATTATCCCCCATTTTATAGTTGAGGAAAGTGAGGTGAGATTAAGTGGCTTGCCCGAGGTCACAGCACTAGTGTCTGAGACCACATTTGAACTCAGTACTTCCTGACTCCAAGCCCAGCCCCGCATCCACTGTGCCACATAGCTGCCTCGAGAAGAGAGATTAGTTTAGAATTGTATCTTATCTTTTAGGGTCAGGCATCGAATCCCTTCATTGCTCAAGAAGATTGATGATTTGTACCAAGTGGGGAAGGGATGGGAGGGGACCTTTTTTCCTCCTTCTTTAAAAAAACTCTAAATTCTAAAACCCAAGTATTTTTTTTGGATGAAGCAACTGACAAAGCTGTCATTGAACCCTACCCCTTCTGCCCCTTTACCACATACTTAAAAACTAACCCTGCCCTCGACACAGTACAGTTGGTAGGGTATCTAATGCTCTATCTAATATCTGGTTTAATTATTGCTGGAAGGTCCAGAGCAAGTAAAGGTGGAGTATATTCCACACTTGTTTTATCTTTGTCAGCATTTTAAAGTTGTCAATACTTTACCATTTACTAAAAAGTACCATTTAGGATCATAACCTGTGCTTCTTTGCCCCAGGATGCTTATCTTCTCCCACACTTACTCTTACTGACTCCCAGGCTTCTTTGGATTAGTGACTTTTGTCTCTTTGTTGAAAATCCTGTTGTGGATAGTGTCTCATCCAGCCATGGGCTGTGGGGGGTGGGGGTGGGACTTCTTGTTTCTCCCTTTTCAGATGGATGAAATTGGCCGAATCCTCTGCAACCTATGCAACGTGGTCCCTGGGGGTGTGGTCTGCTTTTTCCCCTCCTATGAGTACCTGTACAAGGTACAAGCACATTGGGAGCAGAGTGGTCTGCTGACTCGTCTGGCGGTGAAGAAGAAGGTGAGTCTGTCTCTAGTCTGGCCCCACAGTTAAAAGCATCTACCGAATTCGTGGCCTTCCTCAGAAGATCAGACCTCTGTTTCAGGTCTTGGTATAGTCCACAGGGGTGGGGAACCTGTGGCCTCAAGGCTACTTGTGGCCTTCTATGTCCTTGGGTGCAGCCTTTTGACCAAGTCCAAATTTTACAAAACAAATCCTTTTATTAAGGGGATTTGTTCTGTGAAGTTTGGATTCAAAGGGCCAAACTTGAGGACTTTGAGGGCCACATGTAGCCTTGAGGCTGTAGATTTCCCACCCCTAGATAGGAGTTTGTTTTCCCCAAGTCTTACTCTCCTGTCATTCTGGTTTGTAATTTCCTTGGAAGCATCTACATGGTTCAAAGGATCATTGTCTCATAAGAATGAATAACACCCATAAAGTGTTATTCAGAACAAAGGGCTAGGGAACAGGACTAGGAATCCTGTGATCCTTTAGCCCTCTTCTTGGTTTTTATATATATATATATATATATATATATTTGTCCCAGATATTTCAGGAGCCTAACAGAGCAAACCAGGTGGAACAGGTGCTGACTGAATACTCCAGGTGCATTAAGGTAAGAGGTATAGTTGTAAAACCGTAGGGCAGGGTTATGTGGATATGTATAAGTGCCCCATAATAGCTGATCATGGGTAACATCTGAGCTCCTTCAGGGCAGGGACTCTGTGCCTGTATCTCACAATGCCTGGCACATAGTAAACACTTAATATGTTGTTTTTGATTGGTTTATTGAACTGATATCTAATTAAGCAGCTTCTTGATCTGGGATGTTCTTTCAGCGATGCAGCCAAGTGAAAGGTGTGATGACTGGGGCCCTTCTCCTTTCTGTGGTTGGAGGGAAGATGAGTGAAGGGATCAACTTCTCTGATGACTTAGGGCGGTAAGTCTAAGCTCTGGTCCTTACTCCCTTCCTTCTCCCCCTGCCCTCCAGGAGCTGAGAACCCAGGCCCATGGTCTGGTTGTCATGGTTGGCAACAAAATCTTTAAGCCCAGTGCCACCAATTCCCTTTTGCCTAAAGTTGTCCATTGGTGGTAGAAGGGCCTGAGACTGTGAGATTGGATGAAAGCTGTGTGGAAGAGTGAAAGCTGGACTGGGTGTGTCCATATCTGGATTCAGTCTAGGTGAGACCAGGGTTAGGTGCCTACTAAGTATAATCTAGGAGGAGGGACTGTTAGGGTGTCAGCCAGATCCTTCCTGATTTTAGGCTTGGGGAGAACCAGGCTGGGACCTTCCTTCACATGGTATAGCAAGTGGGACGGGTGGACTTTGATTAAGGAGGTGCCTGAACTCAGATTCCATCTCTGACACTTACTTGTTTTGTGATCATGTGCAAGTCACTTAACTTCACCAAGCCTGTTTCGCTATCTGTAAAAGGGGATAATGCATGTGGTACAGTGCTTAGTAAAGTTCTAGGTCTAATCCCTCTGAAGGTGTGTGGTTATGGTGGGCATGCCCTACCCCAACATCAGATCCCTGGAGCTGCAAGAGAAGATGGCGTACCTGGATCAGACCCTTGTGAGTGTCTCTTCAAGTCATTGTTACTAATTCTTTTCCCAAGCTCACGTCCTCCTCAGGTTCACCTTAATTTAGGCTGGAAGGGATTATGAGGCTGTGTTGGCTGTGAAGAGCTGGGTTATTCATAACTGTGAACAGGCTCATTGAAGTTCCTCAGACTGGAGCAAGATTATCTTGAGTCTGTCACCATTTTTATACTTTACAACCAGCCACGAACTCTGTAGTGCCACCTTAAAGCTCTAATTAGGCATAGGAATAATAGAAGCAGTCCTCTTGGTCTCTCTCTTCTGTGTCACGGGGTCACATGTATGGGCAGAGCATATTATGGGTCTTTAACTATTTTTCAGTCTTAGTTATGGGAGTATCATTTTCCTTAGGGATACTGAAGTAAATCGTATAAGGAGCAGGGTGGGTTCCTTGTTTTAAAACAGTACTGATGCCTTCTCTCCATTTCCCCAGCCCAATAGCCCAGGGAAATCTTTGATTGAAAACCTGTGTATGAAGGCTGTCAACCAATCTATAGGTGAGCCTGGCATGCATCCTGAATACCAGAATTTAGCATGAGTGGTAGGTAATAGAGGAAACAAGGGTGGGAGGAATTTGGTTTTGCTTGTTTACTGTCACTTGTAGTAGGGTGGTGGTTCAGAGTGATCCCTTAGACATTGGATTCTGTGAAGGACAAATGAGACTGCAGAGCTTTTGAGTCTTCCCCACTCTGAGTCCTAGCCTTTTCCCAATTCAGGAAGGGCCATTCGGCATCAGCAGGACTTTGCCAGCATCCTGCTCCTGGACCAGCGTTATTCTCGCCCATCCATCCTGGCCAAACTGCCTAGCTGGATCCGAGACCAGGTGGAAATCAAAGCCACATTTGGGCCAGCTTTTGCTGCTTTGCGGAAGGTAAGTCCTCTCCCTTTCTTGCCTCCCTGCAACACCTCACTAGAACAAAAGATTCTCAAAGACTTTTGGTATGTTTTTCCAGTTTCACCGGGAGAAATCTGATCCTTCCTGACAGATGAGCATCAATCCCTACTACATGCCTAAGCCTGCTACATTTGTTAGTTATGTCTACAGGAGTTGTGGCTGCAAAGATGACAAAACACAGATGGATGAGGGTGGGATCTAGCCCCAGCTCTTTCTGCCCTGTCCTCTGGTGTGAGGACTGGAGGAGCCAGTTTTATGTTGGTGAAAAATATTTGGACAGCAAGACTTCCAGGACCTACCTTGCAGGTAGAAGTTAGAAGAAAAGCTGGGATTTGGAGCAGAAGATTGAGTGGATGGGTGGTGGGTTAGGGTGTTGTAGGTTTTGTGTTGCAGGTCTAGGCTGAATCAGTTCTCGGATGCGATGGACAGAGAAGTTACAGTATGAGAAAGATGTAGGTTGCATTTCATTTTAGTAAAAGTAGAAAGAAAAATGTGATGTTATTTGGAAGAAGGATTGCGAATGGACATTTTTGCACTTGGTCTTACTGGTAGCTCTTGCTTCCCTTCCTGCTGATTTGTTGTGAAACACTGTCCAGACCCAAAGTGAAGCTGCCCCTAGACAGTCATAATGTGGGACTGTCATAAATTTCTCCTGAAGCATGTCAAGTTTGTGTGGTATGTCTATCTTCTTTGAGGATCTATGAAGAGATTCAGCTCCAGTCTTCTGCCGTCTGCAGCACCACCTCCCTGTTGAGCTCATTTAGCCCTTTTTCTCACAAAGAAAATCTTAGTCCATGGTTTCACTACTTTTGCTCCCTGGATATCTCCCTGCCTCCTGAAAAGGTGCTGGGTTTAAAGGAGCACAGTTCATATAGTTGGTTCCAGTTCCCCTTTCAAAGCCAATGGCAGTCACAGTTATCTCCTTTCATTGACATTAGCATTTATATGTTGGGGGCTGTTGGGTTCCCACTCTGTCTATTTTAACCCACCCCATGTCTATTTCTGTGTCTTTGCTGTGTGGATATCTATACGTTGCGATATCTGAATCTCCCATTTACTACTTATTCATGCCCTGAAGAAGAGGACCCCATCTACTCTAATAATGGTGAAAGGAAGGACTTGCTCTTACTGTCATGGATTAACATAACTATTGGTGCCTTAATTAAAGTGCACACTTGGTTCATGCAGCTGTGATTCATGTTAATTTTAGTTCAATGGAAGGGTGAAACATGCTAGTAAAGGGGGGAGAGCCTTTGAGCAGAGGTGAATATAAATAAACAATATGTGTTCCATCTCCCATCTCCAGGATGAGCTGAGGAACTTTAATAAGAACTAAATCAGGGTTAAACTGTAAAGATGTCCATGTTTCATCTGACTTGGGGCAACAGCTCAGGTGTAACTTTCAAGGAAAGCAGGTGCCTTCCTATGACTCCCATTCATCCTCATCTTCCTCTCCTGGTGGTTGTTGCAGCATTGGTAGGGGTGGAATTGAGTCTGACATTCGGGCAAAGGCTCCCCCAGGGCCTTCCCCAGTGCTTGCTCCAGGTCCTTTCCCTGAGATGCCTGAAAGTAAAAATTTACCAAAGTGAGGGAAGGTTGGGCTGCCTCAGCTCCAAAGAATTAGAAGCATGGCTGGATGCATCATAGATAGGGCCCTGGAAGGAAGCACACAGGGCCCCACTACAAATACTTACCTTTGCGCCTCATGACTAGTTTGTTGAAGAGATCTGACATTAGGTCACCACCTTGGCTTGTGGCTCTCACTGTAACAAAAATACCATGGTTAGGATCGTGGGAGGAAAGATAGAAAATTTCACAGGGTTATACTTTCATGATTATCACCACTCCATTTTTATCTTCCAAAGGATTATTAAGAACTTCAGTCTGGGAGTGGACAGCTAGCACCAGCAAGCAATAGATACAGCACTGTATTTGTAATAATCAAGTCAAGAGAGTGGGAAAGGAGAATACTTGGGCTTCATATAAGGAAAATTTTTGCTAACATTTCAGAGCAGAATGGGCTTGCCTAGAGAGGGTATTCCTTCGGTGAATGTCTTCAAGCTGGATGACCATTAGGGGTTATGGTGTGTAGAAAGGGATTCCTGTGCAGCCTACTTGATGGCCTCTGAGGTCCCTTGCTAATTGAATCTGATGAATGAAAATAGATTTTTATAGCTTTTTGAAATCAGCTTATTTCTACAAGCTTTTGAAATGAGTGAGAAGAGCAAGGCGAGGTCAGGTCACCCCAAGATGCAACCAGGAACATTGCCCTCAACTTGGGAGAGGGAGCTATGAACATACTGGGCTTTGTTTTTCATCTTTTACCCTCTAACAATTTCCCACCACCTGTTTCTTTTCTCATCACTGGCCTCATAAAAGAAGGCTATCCCCAGCCTCCTCAGCCCTACCCTAATCTGTGTCCTGATTGGACCCTTTTTACTATGCTCCCTGGAATCTTTCTTCCATACTGAACAAACTTTTCTTTATCCCAGACCTCCTTATTTATACTTCTTCCATCTTTAATCCTCAGTGAGAGCTGGCTTCCCACTAATGATTATTTCTCCTTGGCCCTCTTCTCCAGCTATAGCTTCAGCTCCTGACATATTGCTGGAGTTGGAAGACTCCTTACTCCCACTGCCATTTCCAGACTCAACCTTTACCACCATTACTGAGCAACCTCTCCCCTTCTTGTATTCAAAATATCAATATTTTCTGTTCAGTCTGGATAATAGTGGCTATTGTATACTGGTCCCTAGGGCATCTCTCTCTTTCCTCAAGAACTTCAACACCTAGCTCACTGTCATCCTCTCCTCCTCTTGCCCTTATGAGTAGACTTAACCATCCGTGCTCATACACCCTCAAACTTCTTTACTCCATGTCAAACACATAGGCTTTCACCATGCCAAGAAATATTCTATTTCCAACATTATCTGTCCTACCCTCCTGTCATTCTATCTCTCCTTATGCCTCAGCCCTTCTAAACTAGGAGGAAGCAAGCCTGAAGGATGATGACTCTGCTAAGAGGTGTTTCCTGCTAAGAGGTTTTCCAAACAGTGAGTCCTGGCCAAGAGCAACACTCCATAAAGCATGGATGGGCAAAGGCATCATTCTTTCAGCAGTTCTGGGATGACCCCGCATTCTTTACTGGGCCCTGTGTTGCTAAACGGAAGCAGTGGACTTCAGGGCTGTACCTTTTGTTGCAGGAATGAGGGCAGGCCTTACCTTGTTCCTGTTCCTTCTGCTTCTTCTTCTCCAGCTTTCGCTCCTTCACACTCCGTAGCTTGGCCTTGCCAATACCTCCGGCCTGGCGGATTGACTCTAGCAGGGTTGCCCTTCCACTGGAAGGATCTACTACTTCCTTGGGGGGTACATGAACTGCAACTGAAGGAGGGGAAGAGAAGACAAACTTGAGAATGGGTCAGCCAAACTGGGCAGGGACTTTATAGCTTAACCTCAGGGAATTTCCCTCTCCCTTTTGGTACCTGGTAAATGAAGCTGAAAGTCCTGCTCACAAACAGATCGATTCCTAGTTCATCATAAAAGGATTTGCTGAAAACTATTATTCAATAAGTGTGCTCAGAGATACATGAATGAGATTAGGATCTATATTCTCCCCTTCCCTCAATTATGTTTAGAAGAGGTAATGTTTGTGAAAAGAAATAGTAGTAAATGTGTATAGTTTGAAGCCACTAGGTTGGATGATCCAGAAACTACCCTTCAAATAAAGTGTCCAAGGTACCTATAAGTTTGACCTTGGCAGGCCTCTATTTAGAGGCCTTCCCATCCCAACTTCCAATGTTAGAGATGCTTATTGGTACCTGAAGGAGACATGCTGCTGTTGTCCTCACTGGCTGGCTGGGCTGAGGTGAGCTGGGGCAGGGGTGGGGGTGGAGGCGCACTGACCAATACTGCAGGGGCTGGTGGAGGAGGAGGTGGTGGAGGTGGAGGTGGTGGGGGTGCTATTGGTGTTTCACCATGTAGTTCTGAAAATAAAATATCATTTTATACCTCAGCCAGGGCCAGAGAAATAATGTAGGAATAACAGCCTCTCCTCCTATTCAGAATACCTGGCTTAAATGGCTCGGCAAGCTCAGTGTTGAAGGTGGGTAGCTCAGGAATAGTGCCAGGGGCAGAAGGTGCTATGCCAGGGCCTAGGTCAGCACTGTACATGAGGTCATCAGCAATGCCAGGAAGGTCAGGAAGGTAGGATGGCACATCGATCTCAGGCACCTGGCCCAGATCTGGTACATAAAAGTAATTCTCCGCTACCTAAAAGAGCAAGCAGGTCGTGAGGAAATTGATCAGGGGATTGGGGGGGGGTTGGGTGGCATAAACTTGGGCCAGGTTTTCCAGGCTGGGATCAAATAAACAGAATAGGCTAGGCAGTTCCTCCCACCAAAAGAAAGCATCATAATAATAGCTTAAAATGTATTCATCGTGCTTAGTAGTTTACAAAGCACTTGCTTCACAGATGTGCTAAGATAACTCCTAGGCTCTGGAGCCTCACCTTAAGTACTTTCCCTACCTCTGACTCACACGTTACCTGCTGCTCCAGTTGTTCCCTCTTGCTGATGGACAAGGGGGCATCAAACAACTTCTCAGTCTCTGTCCCTAGTGTCACATGAGTCTTTGTTACAGCCCCAGCCAGAGGGTCCAGAAAGACATACTTCTTATACCTGAGGAATGGAGAATAGGCATAGCTGGCAATCACCCGAGTGCAGGGTGAGGTTATCTCCCCACTTTGCTTCCTCTAAGGTCAGGTTTAAAGCTGGGAAAGGGAAGTATGGAAAAACGAGGCTCTGTGGCTGCACAAAGCTTTCTTGTCACCCCCCCATCCCGCCAGACATCAATCCTGCCCCCCTTTGCTCTCCTGCCAGTCATACAGGTTCTCAGTGGTGTTGAAGAGCAGCAAGGAGCTGAGGGAGTTGATGTTGCTGGGAAGGCCCCCGAGTCCCTCCTCGGCCTCATCTTCAGGCTGGGGTTTGGTGCTCACACACACGGGGAAGTACTTCAGTTTTTCCTGAGGATGAAAGGGGCGATAAGAGAAGTAAACAAGCCACAAGTCAGCCTACTCTCTTCTTGCCAGGGCAGTGCACAGTGATAGCACTGGGGTCAGACACGAACTCTTTTAGTAACAGCACGTTTATACGGCATTTTACAAAGTATTTCTGGAACAGTAATCCTATATGAATAAGTATATTTTCTGTTGTGTAGCTGAGAAAATGAAGGGGCAGTGGACTCAAGTGGACCACCTTCATAGCTGTTTAGTCACCCAGCACTCTTCCCACCAAGCTTGGCTAGCCTATTATCTCCCTACTCTCATCCCAGTAGGCCCTTTTTCCCTCCTGGGAGTCCAGACCTGCAGGGCCCTTTCATCCAGGGGTCGGTGCTTGCTCTGGATCTTATGTCGGATATGCCGCTGAGACCCAGGATCCTGGGCTCCTTTGAAGATGGAGTTGTACTCCTGCAGTCTCTCTGGGGCTGGATACTTGGCACTAGAGAACACCTGCAGGGAGGCAGAAGGGATGGGAACTTTCAGGGATAGAAGTTTCTCTCTCCTTTGGTGGAACACCCCATAGTGAAAAAAACAAAAATGTCCTAGAAGTAGTGAGGAAGACCTATGGTGGTTATGAAGTACTCCACCCTAGGTAAAAGCAGCAACATGAAATAGGCTGGGAAGGCCTGGGGCTTGCCGTAAAGGAGTCGGGGGAGGAGAGAGACTGTGGTGCTGATTACCTTGATTGCCTTCTTGCTGCCCTTGATCTTCTCAATCTTGGCCTGAGCCAAAGAGACTCTCTGTCCAATGACCTGCAGCTGGCTCCGGCTCATTTCTACCCGTTGGGAAATCCTGCCACAAAGACCAACACCTGTGAGTGAGGTGCCACTCCAAACATTCTTTGTCCCAAACCCTTTTTTGCCCCAGCATTCATATGATAGCTCTGTGAGACAAGGTGTGGGGAATGAGGGAGTGTATTCTCTGAGGAGAGCAACATGCTTCCCTGGGCTGGCATGGTGCTGCTGCAGATGACTTCTGAAGGGTCTGTCTAAACTTGAGAGCTGTCATCTGCTAGGGTTGTACAAAAGGATTTGAAGAGACTTAAAGAAATCACACTTGCCCTGCAGAACAGACATACTACAAATGGACCGAAACACCAGAACCTTCCCAGTACCTAAAAGATGTCTTAAC